GAAAAAGCACACGGAGCATCACGATTCAATTATCTGTGTATGTTTGTATGATTTAGAGATGCTATTTTTCCAGAAGGAGGTGTAGTTCTAGTGAACAGTCAGGACTTATGTACAGTAAGTACATGTCGGTACAATAAGAACGTGCCAATAAGTTTCCGGTCCTAATTCAAGGTGCAGGTTATGACCTACAAAGCTCTAAACAGTTCGGGCCCTGCCTATCTTCGGGATTACATCTCCCCCTATGAACGGGTGTGGGCTCTAAGATCTGCTGGGGTGGCCCTCTTCCCGCTTCCATCACCGTCACAAGCAGTTGGTGGTGACGAGGGAAAGAGACTTCTCAGTGGTGGCCCCCCGACTTTGGAGCTCTCTCCCCAGGGACATTAGGCAAGCCCCCACACTGTCCTCCTTTCACAGGGATTTGAAAACCTGGAAGTTCCAGCAAGTTTTTGAGAATTGTTAGTCCCTAGGCCCAGTTCCCAAGTAATGACAGAACTCTGTCCTGCACTTCATCCTCTTTCCCGGCCTTATGATTTGCTGTTTGCACTATCCCATGCCCAGCCCTTTTATAGTTGGTCACATCCATTCGTAACCCTGGCCATTCGATTTGTTGAACCTCTACTGATGGAGCTACAATAAAATGGGTTTAAAATATTTTTATCTTTAGTGTGTTTTAGTAGAATTTCTTTGTATTTTATTGCATTTTTAGTTGTTTAATTGTCTGTTAAGTTTAATTAGATTATGTTATATTGTCAAATGTGTTTATCTTGATGTAATGTCTGTATGTTTCTTTCCGGCAACTGAATGTTCGCCTTACATATTGGAAACCGTCCTGAGTCTCTTTGAGGAGATAGGGCAACATACAAATAAAGTTCATTTATTTATATTTATTATTTACAATACAAATAGTTCCTAAATATATACTCATGTAATTGAGCCCCTGGTAGTGTAGTGGGTTAAACTGCTGAGCTGCTGAACTTGCTGACCAAAAGGTCGCCAGTTCGAATCCAGGGAGCGGGGTGAGCTCCTGCTGTTAGCCCCAGCTTCTGCCAACCTAGCAGTTTGAAAACATGCAAATGTGAGTGGATCAATAGGTGGGAAGGTAACAGCGCTCCATGCAATCATGCCGGCCATATCAGCTTGGAAGTGTCTATGACCAAAGCTGGCTCTTCGGCTTACAAATGGAAATTAGCACCAACCCCCAGAGTTGGACATGACTGGACTTAATGTCAGGGAAAAACCTTTTTTTTATTTAACCAAAAATCAGTCTTACAAGCAAAATTCTCAGTAAGTTTAATCCACCAGTCTTTTGTAAACCAAGCATCGACTGCAAAGCTTTCCAAACATTTCATATTGGTGATACGTTTTAGACATGCATCATTTTGTGACACAGGAATACAGTTTTACTAGCAAACTGGAGGAACAGCTTGTAAGAGATAAGGAAACATACATAAATTATAACAACAAAATGTATGGGGATGTATTTTATGACTACCTTTCATTTATATTTTTAAATATATACAACCTATTGCTTATTTCACATAGATTCAGAGGTTTCTCATTATATTCACATGATACACCTTCACACTGCAGCAGATGCGCTGTGTTGCCACAGTTTGCTAAGCTCTGATCTTCTGTCTATCTCCCAGCTATTAAAGTGCCAGTCTCTAACCTGACCGCAGGCAATAACAAATGAATAAATGCTTTATTCAAGAGCGTTCTTTGATCTGATTCAAAGACTGATAGGAGTGCTCTCTTTGGATTGAACCCAGCTCAGCCATTAGGCAACAAGACAAATATTTTAGGATAAAAGCAGGATGAATACACATGCACACATTCTCCTGAACTCCCCAGCCCATCCCTTCTTTGGAAAGACAAGGTTATAAAATTTGCACTGTACTTGTCAACTGGCTTTGTTTGTTCTGGTGTGGTAAACAGCCCACACTTCCAATGCTGTGACTGAATTCTGATGTAAAAATAAAGCCTTGTAAAGGTCTACAGGTGTAAGCCATGCTTCTCACATGTACGAGCAGAGCTTTGCACTTTAATTTTTTTTTTCGAGTCAGGGGTGACTTGAGCAAGTTGCTTCTGGTGTGAGAGAATTGGCTGTCTGAAAGGGTGTTGCCCAGGGGACACCCGGATGTTTTGATGCTTTACCATCCTTGTGGGACGCTTCTCTCATGTCGTCGTATGGGGAGCTGGAGCTGACAGAGGGAGTTCATCTGTGCTCTCCCCGGATTCGAACCTGCGACCTGTCACTCTTCAGTCCTGCCGGCACAAGGGATTAACCCACTGCGCCACCGGGGGGCTCCTGCACTTTAATTATAAACCATATACTTCCATACAAGCCTTCTAAGGGCTTCATCTTATTTGCTCCACTGTTAAAGGCATGTTTGGTAAAGGAGCCTTAAAGGTACATTTCTGTGTCTGCCTCCATGCTGTGGTACTCCATGTCACAAGAAACTAAGATGCCCTCTCTAAGCAAGCAAAGACTGTGCTATAAAGGCAGACTTTGAAGTATTCTTTGGGCTTTGAATATTTTGGTACCATCTTTTAAAAATATTTTTTTGAAAACTTGTAACTTAACAGTGTTAACTATTTGATGGCATTTTAGTATTACAGTGTTTCCTCTCTTATCACAGGTGTTATGTTCCTGGACCACCCGCAATAAGTGAAAATCCGTGATGTAGTGACGCCCCCTCACCTTCCCCCCCCTTACCTTCCTCCTCCTCTTTGCCACCTGGGTCTCTTGCTGCGACGCCGCATGGCGCCCAACTGGCAGCAAGAGGCCCCAGGCGGCGAAGAGGAGGAGGATGAGGAAGGTAAGGAYGGAGAAAGTTCTTTTTTTTTAAAAAAAAAAACAAACCACAAAACAGCGGTCTGCGATAGGCAGACCATGAAGGAGCGAGGGACCACTGTATATCTTACTGTGTTTTAATCATGTTCTGGAGAATCTGCGACCTGTCGGTCTTCAACCCTGCCGGCACAGGGCTTTAACCCACTGCGCCACCTGGAGCTCCTGATAATGTGGATTATCTGCTTTGATAATCTGGATTATATGTCAGTGTAGAAGGGACCAGTGTAGAAGGGACCAATATGGGACTTCTAGGGTTGCAGTTCACACTCCTCTCAAAGATAATAATAAAAATGTATTTATATTCCGCACAGATTGCTTGTTACACTTCTCCAGGAATCAGCTCTTATCAACCCTGAAAAATATTTTGAGTTTTTGAGTATTTGTCTAATTCCACATGCTGTGGGGTCTGTGTTTTGTCTGCCTATTACAGAAATGTGTTATGCATTTTCTCCCCCCACCCTCCTTTTCCAGCAGGCTCTTTGTTTAGGGTCTTCTTGAAGTGCTGCTGAATGCTAAATAAAACAGAATTTGGAATGAACCCCTGAGGATGTGTTATGCGTATGAAACAAAGGGACTAGTACATCTGGCAGACCCAGCAGTACTGCTAATAGATTACATTAATTCCAGTTCTTTTTCAGTCCTGCACCTGATAATTAAGTTCCTGTGACTCTGAAAGACTGTGCCAGTATATTTTTCCAGCTTAAAGGCACACTATGGCTCTGTTGCCTAGATAGCTACCCTACTCTCCAGCTCCATTCCATGCTGTTTGCGGTTTTGCAAGCAAATTATTTCTGATTTCTGTGGTACTCTTCATGTCGGAGCCTTTTTCAGCACTTTATTTTCAGAATATACATCAACAATGTCAGCTTCAGGATCACAATCGCATGCTAAAATAAAAAGGCACACATTCTGGCTGTGGTTGGTCCTTATAACTGGTTTCATTCATAGTAGCTCAGAAGACTTCATCAGCTCTAAAATAGACAGAAGAATCACTGGCTAAAGGATATTTGAGTAATAGTTTAATAACTGGAACAAATAAGGGTAGACTAGTAATTTAAGGTAACAAAACTACTTCTATCAGGTTCACCCATCACTTTTAGTACCTAGACCCTGCGTATGTTCATTCTAAAGAAATCACAACAGAAGCTTCATGTAATCTGGGTAGGATTTAATAGTATAAAGAAAAAGATTACGGTACATACACGCACTGAATTTTCCCCTCTTCTGTTACAAAAAAAGAGAGAGAGGAAAACATAGATACCTGATCAAAGGCTGCACTTCAAAACTTTCTATAAAGTTTGAGGAAGAAAAATAAAAATATTTTACCAAATTTAGTTCAGAATCATTTGGACCATCATCATTATATCTCTCTATATAAACTTTTCAGCGGCATTTTACTTAGCATAAGAAAACGTAGTTTTCATGTTAGGTTTGAACTGTCAGAACTTCTCCGTCCCTGAACCTTGAGATAGCAACATTCAATAGGACTAGAGAGAAGAAACTGTGACTGTCTTTGTGGTGTTGGGTACAACTAATGGCTGGCCTCAATGGGCATGATGGGACACAGAGTGAAACAACATCCCAGGTCATGCCACAGGTTACAACACTACACGGGCAGACAGATTAGGGTTCACCTTGGCTTAAGTGGACTCAGACTTTAAATTTGGCAAAGTAATATTTGTCAGAAATATTAAAAATTAACTAGGTATTTTTAACTACGAAAACGTGAGTCAAGCACTGAAAGGGTTAAATGGATGGCATGACTTAGCAAAAGCTACAGTGCTCTATAAGCAGGTGTGTCTGTAGCTTAGTAGCCGTTAGTCTGAGGTAAACCTCAGTGGGAGAAAGGTCTCAGTTTGTGAGAAGGCCTCACAATGTGAAGTAGGCCTTAGTCTATGAGAAGGCCGTGTGTGAGAAGGCCTGATGTGAGAAGCCCCAGGTTGAAGGACTCATGTGCAAAGCTGTGTGAAGCTCCTGTGTAAGTTCAGTGTGAGAAGAGGCTCTGTGAGAGTAAAGCTGTTTATCTGCATAAGAAAGAAGCCCAGAGTGGAAGCAACAAAGGAAATATAAAGAACTTTATTTGTGTTATAGAAACCTTTTTCTTGTAAATAGTGTAATTAAGGAAGAGATAACATTGGTCTCTGTGTTTTTGTTCTTTTTATCACTTTGAGCTTCTGGTGCTGAGTCACACTGTTACTGATAAGTTACTGTGCTGTACATTTATGAGGGGGGTCTTTTGTTAATAAGCCCACTCACTCAACAATATTGGGGTTGTACTAGCATGCTGTGTAGGAGTCTATGCTCAAAGCTACAATAAGGCAACTGGGATCAGGGAGTAGAAGGAGGCTCAGCCTGGTCATATTTTGTCTGATATCTTTACTGCAGCAGAGCAGCAAATCTGACATCCAGTCAGACCTTCCAACCTAGCTCACACATTTATGAGCTCCATTAAGACAACCACTGGATTCTGCCTTTCTAACCACACATGTTGCCTTTAACTTAGAAGAAAGAGAATTGCAAGAAAAGATACCATACTAGTTTTCATATCAGAAATAGTACTTACTCCTGGAATGTGGAACTATATCTTCATATATCAAGACAGAATGTTAAAATTAGTCCATTTAGTATTTATGATGTCTTCTGTTGCTCTGTTGCATAGTGCATTCGATTTGGTGCATATCCAGCCTTTTTATCTGTATCTCAAACCACCTGGAATGGCCCATTAGCCCTCATGGGGTTTTCCATACATCTTCAGTCCAAGTCTCCCAACCATCAGTAAACTTCAAAGAAAAAAAAATGTGATCAGTCTGCGGACACAATGAAAAGAAGAAAAACCATCTACCACGTAAATCTGTGTTTTGTCACCCAAGAAAAACATATGAATGAGGCATAATACCTTGCACCAGCAATCAGTCCCGCAGGCATAAATTTTCCTGAGTTGTAGAATCTCATGCCCATAATACCAGCTAAGGTTCCAGAAGCAACTGGGGAGGAAAATTAAAACACATCGCAGAGTTACTTATGGCTGTTTCTGTGAGAGACAGCAAACATTCAGGGAATGATAAAGAAAACCCAGGGGTAACAAAGAACAGTAGTATTAAACAGAAACAGGCTACTCTAACCTTGTCATCTCTAGATGTGTTGGACCACAACTCTCATAGTCCCCAACCAGAAGAAAGGAAGGAGGGAGGGAGGGGAGCCTCATTACAATTCTCTGAGGAAGAAGAGCCTTGTTTTTATTCTTCCAAGTCTTATTTATTTCGTATCAAAAGCACTGCATAAATTAGTATAAAAATGATCAAAATAGAAGGAGTGCAGGCGGCTAAATATCTTTTGACCAAAAACTAACAACAGCAATGGCATTGTCTGTAGCATCCAACAATTCTTCCTCTGTACATGAGGCACAATGGACAAGCATGCAGATACAGAGTTGTCTGTTCTGCTCCACAGTCACGTAAGATTGGGATTCTTTTAGGTAGTGCCATTTTGCCAGGTTGTCTTTTGATCTGCCCACTCCACTTCTGAGTCTGTTCAGGGACTTCCAAGTTGCCCATTCTTGGTTTGCACCTGGAGGAAGACCCTCGCAGGAGGCCATCCAGTTGGGATTTCCTGGTTTAGCTGCCCACAGGGATACCCTTGCTGTTGCTGGGGGGACGCCAAGAGGAGTGGTAGTTCTCATAAAGCTTTTCCTTGAGTCTACTGAGAGGAGGCTGGTAGCCATGCAGTGGATGGCTTTCACAGTGTTCAACCTTATTTCTCTCACATTTAGCAGCAACTTCCAGTTGCACATGGGAGGGGGTGCAATACCACCTAACTTGTAGAGTTTATCAACAGGTGTAGGTTTAAGACACCCTGTGATTATTCTGCATGTTTCATTCAATGCTATGTTCACCTGCTTTGTGTGGGCAGACCTATGCCAAACAGGGTAGGCATACTCAGCATTTGAGTAAGACAAGGCCAGGACTGGTGTTCTTACTAATTTTGGGTCTGCAGCCCATGTGCTGCCAGTAAGTTTCAGCAGGATGTTATTGCGTGCAGCTACTTTGTGCTTGGTGTTCAAGCAGTGTTTCCTATATACTAGTGTTCAATCTAAGGCGACACCGAGATATTTAGGATAGAAACAATATTCAAGCTCTTGACCTTCCCAAGTGACTTTCAATTTCCTGGGGAACATGGCAAGAGCCTCCTCGAAGACTGAGTAAATACAGTCAGGCGTCCCTCGGGCAACATTTCTTGTAAACGGCTAATCTTTCCAAACCCAAAAGCATTGCTCTTTAAACATTATTCCAAGTCAGAAGCAGCCAAGGCACGTTGAATAATATGGAATGTTGGATAAGCGAAGGCTGGATAAGTGAGACTCTAGTTTGTGGCAGTCACAAAAACAAAGTTTCTGGAGTATAACAACTACTTTCAAAGTAAATACTGCACAATTAAACAGGAAATAGCAGTTCTGAACCAGAAACATTATTTTTCAAAAAATTTTACATAGTGTAATCAGTTTTCCATGACAAAATATAAATTACTATCAATTACTTCAAATCAGTGCCCTTAGAAAAGAGGGTACAGTATTTAATTTATAGGATTAAGCTGCTTTGTTGCTACTAAGGGCCCTTCCAGACAGGCCCTATATCCCAGGATATAATCTCAGGTTTTCTGTTTATCCCAGATTATCTGACAGTGTGGACTCATATAATCCAGTTTAAAAGCAGAAAACCTGGGATCAGATCCTGGGATATAGCGCCTGTCTGGAAGAACTCTAAGCAAAATTAAATGAACACGAGATATAATGATGATGAGAAGATTGGGTACAGTTGTTTTTCATAATAATTGTGCATTGTAATTGCTTATTGGTAATTTATGGATAATGTGTTAAGTCAATTGTTATATGTTGTATGGAACCACTGCTGTTTCTACTGTTTTTACTGTTTGTGAACCGCTGTGAGTCGCCTTCGGGCTTGAGATACAGCTGTATATAAGCAAAGTAAATAAATAAATAATAATAAATAAATATAAAAGGATTATATATTATTATGATTATTATTATTATTATAACTCCCATGATTATTCAAGGAGTTATTGCAATAATCATGTCTATGTATTTTCCTGTAAAGGCACACTTACTCAGAGAAAGCCAAATGTTCTTTGGGTCTTGAGACAGCTGGTAAGCTCCCAGTCCAGCTAGACTCCCAAAGAGAAGTCCGGCAGCTAAAGATGGAACACTGCCTTGAATATATAAAACAATGTTCATTAAAAAGTTAATACGCATTGGTTACACACACAAAAAGCTCAACATTTATTCTATACTGACAAGATATCAGCAAAGAAAAGAAATTGTTACAGGGCCAGCCCTATTATTACACAAAGGGCCCTTCCACACAGCCATATAACCCAGACGGCAGAAAACCTCACAATATCTGCTTTGAAGTGGGTTATCTGAGTCCACACTGCCATATATTCCAATTTCAGTTTCGTTATGAATGTTGCTTCTCTTTTCTTCCTTAATTTGCTTGAAAGCCATCTTCCCAGCTTGTTTGCAGTTTTGAAATGGTCCTGTCGTAAAGTATTTTCTTTTTTAAAAGGTACAATTTCCAAACAATTTTGCCCCTCGAACCACGCGGAAAGTTCCACAAACACATGAAAACACTTTTCAGAGGAACTTCAGAGGAAAATGTAAATTGGTTGCTGTGAATTTTCCGGGCTGTATGGCCATGTCCCAGAAGCATTCTCTCCTGGCGTTTTGCCTACATCTATGGTGAAATGTCAGGAGAGAATGCTTCTGGAACATGGCCATACAGCCTGGAAAACTCACAGCAATCCAGTGATTCTGAGCATGAAAGCCTGCAACAATTTTTATTTATTTATTTATTTATTTATTTACTATTCTTATATACCGCTGTATCTCAAGCCCGAGGGCGACTCACAGCGGTTTACAAACAGCAAGGACAATAAAAACAGCAATAGTTAATAAACAATGACAATTAATTTACACATTTCCATTAATAACTAATAAGCAATCCCAATACACAATTATTACAAACCCCATCCCCGATCGCCTCATCATCCATGCATGATCCAAATTCGTCGTCCATTGTTCCGTTCCTATGTTCAATTACCAGATTGCACTGAATTACTCAAACGCCTGCACAAACATCCAGGTCTTCAACTTTCTACGGAATGCCATGAGAGATGGTGCCAGCCTAATGTCTATAGGAAGGGCGTTCCACAGCCGAGGAGCCACCACCGAGAAGGCCCTATCTCTCGTCCCCGCCAACCGTGCTTGGGAGGCCGGCGGGATCGAGAGCAGGGCCTCCCCGGAAGATCTCAAAGTCCGGGTGGGTTCATAGGCCGAGATGCCTACAATACATTGAAAATATAAATATTTTGGGTTTTCTGGGGCAGAGTAATTGGCTCCTTGTCCCAATGCAGTTGCCCACCATAGGGATTGGGTTAGATTTTGTAAACAGCCAACTGAGATTTGGAGGTTTGTTTTTTGTTCAAAAAAGTGTGTATGCCTCCATCATTTTTCTGCCCTCATGCCTATCACACAGCCTCCAGAGTTTGGTCAAACCAAAATTTGACACTGCATCCAAATTGTGTATCCAATGGCTTGTGCAAACTTCTGTGGTTCTAAAAACTAGAAAGGAAATAAGCTTGCCAACACATTCCACAGCTCTTGTTCTTCAAGTACAAATTTCCAAAACTGGACTTTTACTATGGGGCCTTTAAAATAAATCTTTCTAATACATTATTCTTGCAAAGGATATTTTTTTGCTATTTTAAGTGCCTCAGGAGACTGCTTCCAGTCCAATTATCTGTTAATACACAGGAAGAGGCGACCTGCCAAAGAAACCAAAATGTCACCACTTTGGGCTACTAAATTGAATGGCCTCATTAGCCAGGTGTAACGGAGCATTCAATGCCTCTTGTTAATGCCTTCCATCTGCAGGACAAAATTGATTGGACTTGCTAATTCGTAAAATTTCCAACCCAGTCATTATGCCCTCATCCCTATCTCTGAGAACAATAAAAAAGATCTGTCATTTTCATAAACATACTACATAGTCTTTGCGCATTCAGAAGAAGATCTACAAGTCACTCCAAACATCTTTGCAAAAGCATATGAGAAGCTCAGTTTCTCATTGAACATCGAGAAATCCAAAGTGCTCTTCCAGCAGTCAATCCCTCTGCAATGCCAGAAATATAGCTTAATGGTGTAATGTTAGAAAATGTTGACCATTTCAGCTACCTTGGCAGCCACCTCTCCACAAAAGTCAACATTGACACTGAAATACAAAAATGCCTGAGCTCTGCGAGTGCAGTATTTTTCCAAATGAAGCAGAGAGTGTCTGAGGACCAGGACATCCATAGGGATACCAAGGTGCTCGTTTATAAAGCCACTGTCCTCCCAACACTACTATACACCTGCAAAACGTGGACTGTCTACAGACATCACACTCAACTCCTGGAACTATTCCATCAGCATTGCCTCTGAAAAATCCTGCAAATCTCTTGGGAAGACAAGCGGACAAATGTCAGTGTGCTGGAAGAAGCAAAGACCATTAGCACTGAAGCATGCTCCTATGCTATGAACTCCGCTGGACTGGCCATGTTGTCCTAATGCCCGAGCACCGTCTCCCAAAGTACTTACTCTACTCCCAACTCAAGAACAGAAAAAGGAATATTGGTAGACAGGAAAAGAGATTTAAAGATGTGCTTAAAGCTAACCTTAAAAACTGTGGCACAGACACTGAGAACTGAGAAGCCCTGGAACTTGAGCACTCAAATTGGAGGTCATCTGTGACCAGCAGTGCTGTGGAATTTGAAGAGGCACGAATGGAGGGTGAATGGGAGAAACGTGCCCAGAGGAAGGCGCATCAAGCCAACACAGACTGGGACTACCTTCAACCTGGAAACCGGTGTCCTCACTGTGGAAGAATATGCAGGTAAAGAATAGGGTTCGACAGTCACTATGTATCCACCACCAAGACACTGCACTTGGAAGGCCATCATACTTGGACAACGGGGGATCGACTAAGTAAATATTTTGTAATGTGAGCCAGTGAAAGACTTGAAATCCAAATGTTTCTTTAAAGCTCTTCTATATTTAGATACATAACTGTTAAAACCAGTGCTTGGGACTACAACTCCCAGAATCCCCCAGTTAGTACAGACAGTTTCCAAGATCTGTTTCCATCACATGGAAGCCTCTCCTTTGATTCACTTTTCCTCCAACTGTAGATGGGTTCAGACGAAAATCACAATTTGTGATAAAACCCTGCCATTTGGATCCCGCTCCCCATCTCTCAAAAGGCAAACCATCATCTCATCAAAATACTGCAAGAGGATCAGATGAAAGCCCCGAGGACATGAAAACCCTCATTCCTAATCAATACACAAACCTTCTATTGAAGCTAATGGGAGTTATATGCACAAGCCCAGAGAAGAATATGTCCCTAAGGTTTTTTGTTGCTGTATTTTGATCTCTGCCATTGCTGCTGACGGTTCTTGAGACCTTGCTCAATTATTCATTTGCGGAAAAGGCTGCAAGGGGGAGGGGGAAACACCAATTCAGCCTGAACAAGAAATCCACTCCTAGTTCTATAAATTCTTTATTTGTGGACATTTTCATTAGACCGAATTTGATTCCACCACAGATAGGACAAAAGATCTGACATCCCAAAACATTAGGATCAACATTCTTTCTATCATCTATCCATCTATCTATCCATCTATCCATCCATCCATCCATCCTGTCCAGGATTTATGTTTTTTTTATAAGATGGGCTATTCCAAAGCTTGTAACAGAGTTCTAGGTCAGAAAAAATACGAAAACTCTAAAGCCTGAGACTGCAGAATTATTTTAAATAATGGTGGTGTAATATTCATACAAGTATATCTCAATTGGGAGCCCCCGGTGGCGCAGTGTGTTAGACCGCTGAGCTGCTAAACTTGTTGACCAAAAGGTCGCAGGTTCGAATCCGGGTAGCGGTGTGAGCTTCCACTGGCAGCCTCAGCTTCTGTCAAACTAGCAGTTCAAAAACATGTAAATGTGAGTAGATCAACAGGTACCGCTCCGGCAGGAAGGTAACGGCGCTCCATGCAGTCCTGCCGGCCACATGACCTTGGAGGTGTTACAGATTTATATAATCTAGTTTAAAGCAGAAAACCTGGGGTGAGATCCTGGGTTATAGGGCCTGTCTGGAAGGGTCTACACTGCCAAATAATCCAGTTCAAAGCAGATAATCTGGATTTAATACATCTGTGTAGAAGGGGCCACAGATGATCAAAGCAGAGTCCTCCATTGGCTCCACTGAAATGCCACCCATTAAAAACATCACCAAAAAGGCAGCCCTTCTAGAGTCCACAGGGGTGCTTTCCCAAGATTTTCCCCACATTGGGTCGCTCTTTCCAAAACTAGAAATCACTTAAAGCACATTGGGATGGGGTATGCGAGAGATCAGATTCAGGGAAGTGTGCACACAATGCCTAGACCTAGGAAATTTCCTAGGCTGATATAAGGCTGTTGTCTTGAAGCAATAAATGCACTCACGTATGACAAGAAAAGTAATATTTAGTAAGAAAACGAGCATGTTTCATGCACTTCCAACTGTTGCCCTGTTGTGATTCCATTGATAGACACAGTCCACTCTGTGGATATCCATTTAGTTCACATAGTTTTCAAGGAGGTTGTAACTGTGGGCCCTTCCACACAGCCATATAACCCAGAATATCAAGGCAGAAAATTCCACAATATCTGCCTTCAACTGGGATATTAGAGTCCACACTACCATATATCCCAGTTCAAAGCAGAGGTGGGATTTTATTCAGCTGTGTAGAAGGGGCCTGTATTTCCAAGGAGCCAATTTACACGTTAGTTTCATTAAATTTTGCATCACACTTGTCCTTAGCACTTGTCCTGAGTTCCTTTGAGGAGATAAAGTCAAGGTAAAGGTTTTCCCTTGACTTTAAGTCCAGTCGTGTCCAATTTTGGGGGTTGGTGCTCATCTCCATTTCTAAGCTGAAGAGCTGGCGTTGTCCATAGACACCTCCAAGGTCATGTGGCTGGCATTATTATTATTTTTTGTCATGTCAGGAGCGACCTGAGAAACTGCAAGTCACTTCTGATGTGAGAGAATTGTCCGTCTGCAAGGACGTTGCCCAGGGGACACCCAGATGATTTGATGTTTTATCATCCTTGTGGGAGGCTTCTCTCACGTCCCCGCATGAGGAGCTGGAGCTGATAGAGGGAGCTCATCCGCCTCTCCCTGGATTCGAACCTGCGACCTGTTGGTTTTCAGTCCTGCCGGCACAGGGGTTTAACCCACTGGGCTACTGGGGGCTCCATGTGGCTGGCATGACTGCATGGAGCACCGTTGCCTTCCCACTGGAGCGGTACCTATTGATCTATTTACATTTGCATGTTTTTGAACTGCTAGGCTGGCAGAAGCTGGGGCTAACAGTGGGAGCTTACCCGCTCCCCGGATTCAAACCTGCAACCTGTCAGTCAACAAGTTTAGCAGCTCTGCAGTTTAACCCACTGCGCCACCTGGGGCTACATAGGGCAGTATATAAATAAAGTTTTCTTATTATTTATTATTACTTCTGGAAATAATCAAATGTGTGACTAAACATCTCTAACCAGGAGGAGAAACAAGGTTGCTTGCATTACACACAACTCAGGGCGTTGTAGTGAGTTAATCAATAGGCCAGAGCAGATAGCTGTTTCAGAGCTTATCATTTCCAAGCACTTCTTCCAACTAGGAGGGGAATCCACGGCCTGCAAGACCAGATCAGGGCTCTACACCAACAGTAACTTCTTATCTACTTGCAAACAGAAAAAATGCATTCTTGAACTACTACTTTAAAAAAAGGTAGGGGAGACTTCCACATCTAAGGGCAGAAAACGTTAATACGATACCTGCTTTTGCATAGCCGATCATTCCTCCAGAGGCCACTAATGCTGCATAGCCAAAACCAACCCAGTCCAATCCCATTCTGAAACAAAACGGTAACAAAAAGAAGCTCATTTTAAAGAATATAATAATAATAATAATAATGATAATAATAATGATAATGTAATCCCAGGTGACAGCAGGATTGCAGAGAAACAACTGGAAAAGCTGACACAATGTGATATAATGCTAATAATAATAATGATGATGATGATGATGATGATGATGATAATAATAATAATAATAATGTAATCCCAGGTGACAGCAGGATTGCAGAGAAACAACTGGAAAAGCTGACACAATGTGATATAATGCTTCCTGATGGCATATAACATGTGCATGGGCAATGATCAGGCCTTTCTGGCTGCGTATATTGTATAATGAAGAATGTGCATACTTGCAGAAATGAATGTTTTGAAAGAGAACTCTTTTAAATAGTGCCTTTAACTGCATAGATTTTTAAACTGCTTTTGTCTCCAATTACTGTATGTTTTAAATTGTTTTTAATGTTACTGATACTTTCAATGCCTATTTAATATTAGCACATTTTAACAGTATTGCTTTAATATGTAAGGTAAAGGTAAAGGTTTCCCCTTGACATTGAATCTAATTGAGTCTGACTCTAGAGGATGCTCAACTCCATTTCTAAGCCAAAGAGCCTAAGTCATGTGGTCTGCATGATTGCATGGAGCGCCATTACCTTCCCGCTGAAGCTGTACGTATTGATCTACTCACATTTGCATGTTTTTGAACTGCTAGGTTGGCAGAAGCTAGGGTTAACAGCAGGAGCTCACCTCACTCTCTAGATTTGAACCACCAACCTTTTGGTCAGCAAGTTCAGCAGCTCAGTGGTTTAACCCGCTGCACCGCTTGGGGGGGGGGGGGAGTTTAATATGTAAGTCCCCTTAAATCCTGATTTTGAAAGGAAAGGTGGGATAGAAGTAAAAATTATGACAATGGCATAACCTCTGAGGATGCCTGCCATAGATACAGGCGAAATGTCAGGAGAGAATGCTTCTGGAACATAGCCATACAGCCCAAAAAATTCACAACAACCCAGTGATTCCAGCCATGAAAACCTTCAATATTAAACCTATTATTTAATAATAATAATAATAATAATAATACTGTAGTAACTCTTCCCAGAAGTTATAAAATATTTTGTACAACACAGAAGAATAAATAAGGAAACACACTCTCCAGGTCAGTCCCACTTCAGACATCTGATGCTTTTAAAAATAAACTTGTTTTCATTCATCCTTTTCAATCTCATACTTCAGTTTTAAAGTGTCCATCTGGGATCCAAATTCTACCTGACAACACTGCAGTCCTGACCTGTAATTATATCTATATAAATAAAAATGTAATGTTCATTTGTGGGATTAACAGAACTCAAAAACCACTGGACGAATTGACACCAAATTTGGACACAAGACACCTAACAACCCAATGTATGTCCTTCACTCAAAAACATTGATTTTGTCATTTGGGAGTTGTAGTTGCTGGGATTTATAGTTCAACTACAATCAAAGAGCATTCTGAACCCCACTAATGATGGAATTGAACCAAACTTGGCACACAGTTCTCCCAAGACCAATAGAAAATAGTGGAAGGATTTGGTGGGCAGTGTCCTTTGGTTTTGGAGTTGTAGTTCACCTACATCCAGAGATCACTGTGGACTCAAACAATGATGGATCTGGACCAAACTCTACATGAATACTCAATATGCCCAAATGTGAACACTGGTGGAGTTTGGGGAAAATAGACCTTGACATTTGGGAGTTGTAGTTGCTGGGATTTATAGTTCCTACAATCACAGAGCATTCTGAACCCCACTAATGACAGAATTGGGCCAAACCTCCCACACAGAACCCCCATGTGGGCCACAGCGATGCGTGGCAGGGGACGGCTAGTATAAATAGAAAGGTAATGTTCATTTGTAGGATTAACACAACTCAAAAACCACTGGACGAATTGACACCAAATTTGGACACAAGACACCTATCAGGCCAATGAGAAACCATCACTCATAAAAACACTAAAAAACACAGCAGAAGAGACTTAAAAAGCCAAAAATTAAAAATTACATAACAATGCATGCGCAAAACCACACATATATATGCAAACACACATATATACAAATATATATACACACATATGCACACAAAACACATATACATAGACTGGGCCACAGCAATGCATGGCAGGGGATGGCTAGTATAAAACAAAAACATAGGCATAAACTGTTAACACAACATATACATTAAAATCAATTTAAAACCAGTTCCGCTCTCTTCTTCGTGGAAGGTAAGCTGCCAAGGGCCAAGCTTTCAATAAGGGGCCTGGACTTTTTGGAACAGGCTTGGCCAAGGCTAGTATATATAGAAAGAGATGGGGGGGGCATCCACACTGTAGGATTAATGCAGTTTGACACCACTTTAACTACCATGGCTCAGGTCTATAGAAGCATGGGGGTTGTAGTTTTAGAAGTTTTTTAGCATTCTCCGCCAAAGGGCCCTTCTACACAGCCATATAACCCAGAATATCAAGGCAGAAAATCCCACAATATCTGCTTTGAACTAGGTTATCTGAGTCCACACTGCCATATAATCCAGTTCAAAGTAGCAAATGTGGGATTTTATTCAGCTGTGTGGAAGGGGGAAGAGAGTGCTGGAGCCTCACCAAAGTACAACTTCTTCTATTCAGTAGTAGCAGTGAAAGTGGTGTCAAGCTGCATTGCTTCTACAGTGTGGATGCACCCAGAGAGGCAGAGCTAGATCTGAAAGCAGCATAAAGAATTGCCATGTGAGGAAGACACAGGATCCTCAGGTTACTTACATGGCTGTTCTGCAGCAGTGCAAGGAGAGGAGAAGAAAACCCTGCCCAACCTCCCAAGATCCAAACCTCCCGGGGAGTGGCGAGCAAGGCAGGGCGGAGCACGTGACGTGGAGCCAATCAGAGCGAGGCTCCAGGTTGATTCTTACAGAAGCCCCGGCCAAGCATTGCCTTTCCCAGAGTTTCCTTGAATCTGGCTGCAATAATACAATGTAACACGATTTTTGTTCCTGGGTTATAAATGCCATTTCCTGATTGGTTCCGTCATAAAAACACACATTGTGCCTCTCTTAAAGTAATATAGTTTCTTTGATTTTTCAAACACATTTTTCATGGGTCTTGGGGTGCATCCACACCTTAGAATGAAAGCAGATAGATACTACTTTAGCTGCCATGATTCAAAACAATGGAATCGTGTGAGTTGTAGTTTTACAAGGTCTTTTACAGACACAGAGAGGGAGGGAAGCATCTCCATTGTAAAATGAATGCAGTTTGACTCCACTGCCAAGACTCAATGCTATGGTATTATGGGAGTTGTAGTTTTATGGGGTTTTTAAGCTTTCTTTGCCAAAGAGTGCTGGTGCCTCACCAAACTACAGCTCCCAGAATCCCACAGCACTGAGTCATGGCAGTTAAAGTGAGGTCAGACCGCATTCATTCATTCTACAATGTAGATCAGGCAAGGGTAAACTTGGCCCTCCATGTGTTTTGGACTTCAACTCCCACAATTCCTAACAGCCAATGTGTTGTAACTGTTTGAATTTTGGGCTATGCCTCACGAGACCTGGGTTGAAATCCCTGCTCAACCTTGGAAGTCCACCAGTTCGCATTGAGCAAGCCACACTCAGACTCAGAGGAAAGCAAAGGCAAGCCCACTCTGTGGCTGCATCCACACTGCCATATAATCCAGATTATTAAATCAGATAATCCAGATTATCTGATTTGAACTAGATCATGTGAGTCTACACTGTCATGTACTCCAGTTCAAATAATCTGGATTTTATACGGCAATGTAGATGGGGCCTGAGCAAATTTTGCCAAGAAAACCACAGAATAAGTAGCACTTAACTGAGACTTTTAAGAGGTCCTAAGCACTCCAAAGAGTTAAGACTTTGATGCCCTCATATATATCCTATTCAAAACATAAATGATAATAAACAATGATTTTTTTATTTTTGAAATGAAACAAAACTTACAGTAAGATGGAAATTAATGTTTGCTTTTGTATAGGTAAAGGTTTCCCCTTGACATTAAAGTCGAGTCCAACTCTGGGGGTTGGTCCTCATCTCCATTTCTAAGCCGAAGATCCAGCATTGTCCGTAGATGCCTCCAAGATCATGTGGTCGGCATGATTGCATGGAATGCCGTTACCTTCCTGCTGAAGTGGGACCTATTGACCTACTCACATTTGCATGCTTTCGAACTGCTAGGTTGGCAGAAGCTGGGGCTGACAGCAGGAGCTCACCTTGCTCCCCAGATTCAAACCACCAACCTTTTGGTCAGCAAGTTTTTATTTATTTCGCGTATTTCTACCCCGCCCTTCTCAACCCCCGAGGGGGGACTCAGGGCGGCTTACAAAAGGCACAATTCAATGCCTACACAATAGTACAAATAAACATATATAAACAGCAATTAAAACAGTTATAAACAGTTAAAACAATGTTATATATCACAATCAATAAGGCCAATCTCATGCTCAACATTTGCCAGCTCAGAATCCATAAATTCATTCCACATTGTCAATTCCTATCAGTTCTAGTCGTCATTGTCCTTTATCTGTCTGCCAGATTACCCAAACGCCTGGTCCCAAATCCATGTTTTTAATTTCCTTCTAAAGGAAAGGAGGGATGTCATTGACCTAATTTCTACGGGGAGTGAATTCCACAGGTGAGGGGCCACCACCGAGAAGTTCAGTAGCTTAGCGGTTTAACCCACTGCAGGCACCTTGTATACTTCTATCTTCTTTATAAGTGAAAAGATTTTTCCCTACTTTTTCTAGTGGCAAAGTCTTTTTACTGTGGGAGTCCCTTTTGTGTGGAACCTGGTCCAGTGACACTGCCTGCAGTTTGGCAACCCAGTCTATGTATGGGAAATCTGGCAATAGGAAACTTCTGAGGTGCCCCCCTTCCCTTGATGTCCTAAGCATGTGGTGATAAGAGTTGCTATAAATCATCAAAAAACTTGAAGGCACACAATTTATTCAGGAACCACAGGAAGTTTGGATGCAGTATTGAACATATGGGGAGCATGTCTGAGATTGGACCTAAATTTATTGTGCAATTCCTTGGACTATGATTCTGGAGGTATATTGTGAACCAGTGTAGCACAGTGGTCTTGAGCGTTGGATGTCTCTGGAGATCAGTTTGAATCTTCCCTTGGCCACTAAACCCACTGAGTGACTTTGGCCATATCACACTCTCCCAGCCTCAAGAAAGACAAACTCAAAGCATATATTGCCAAGAAAAACCCATGATAAATTAACTTTAGGATCTCCAGAAGTCAGAAACCATATGAAGGCATGTAACATCAAGCTTTTTTGTACACATTTTAATTTGTATACCACCTTGAGTTCCATTTTGTTCAAAGGGCAGGGTATTAAAAAGTGAGTAACAACAGGCCTAGTAACACTGAAGGATGATAGGAGTGACAATTCAACATCATCTTCGGGTCACATGTTCCATATCTATTTTGTTGCCAAAACCACTTTATTTTAACTGGTTGTTTATTCAAATTGCCAGCTCTGCTTTGCAATTCATGAAATGGTTTATTATCACAGATGATAACACTATGTAACATAATTTTGTTCTTGGGTTATAAATATCATTTCCTAATTGGTTCTATCATAAAAACTTGGGAAAAGTTTATTAAACTGTTTTTGCGGGACATCCTGCAGCACATTTTGCTATAGTTTTTCAATGGGTATCTCATAGAGTCTCAACTAATCAACATAGTTTGTAGCAGTCACAAAAACGAAGGTTCAGCTACTTACAAAGTAAGTACAACACAATTAAACAGGAAATAACACTTTTAAACCAGGAACAGAATTTTTTTCAAATGTTGCTACATGATTTTTGCATCCCGATTTGGGAAACAGATCTACTTTATTGAGAATTTGAATAAATAACTTTGCTCTTTGTTGAAGCAAACATGCTGGCACAGCGAGAGATGTGTTCCGAGCATGCATCCAAAAATATATGGAGTCTTCATTTAATCCAACACATTAAAATCAAATGGGAAAGTTTTGTTCCAAAGAGCAACAAATAGTGCTAAAGAAGACAAACTTGCCAGAATAAAATCAATAACTGTGGAAATGTTGCTAAGTAGTTTTCTGTATCTCATGGCCCTTCTAAAAGCATAATGGATATTAGAAATATGAAAATAAACTTTACAATGCCATTATATATAACAAGCTGCAGACTTTGTTAACAGTTTTCAAGCAGATGTAAATCCTTCTGAATTAGGATTTTTAAGGCCCCCACTCAACATCTGAGAACAGTTACTGTTCTAAGAAAATGGTGACTTCATATAAATATTCATAGAATGGGCTGTTATAAACGGAACAACAATATATTGCATTTAAGTTGGGAAACTGCCTTAGAAAGAAAGTGAAACTAATTTCTGATTATTTATTACAAATTCAGCACTGCAAATTATAACAAAGTACATTTTCATTTTAATCTTTGTGACTTTTTCTTCTTCTTTTGCTTCTTATCTGGAACTTTTCGTTTCACTGGGACCTCCTGGCTTTCTTCCTCTGATGGCTGATCACAAATTCCTTTCCTCTTAATCAATGGCAGTTCCACTTCATGAACTAGAAAAAAAAACCAAGTTACATTTAAATATCTAGTAAGATCTTTAACATACAGCCAATGTAAGAAAATGCTAAAAAGTCTCAGGGTACCTTGAGAGGACGTTGTTGTACCTTCATTAGAAGTCTGCTTTGTTTCTGGATCTCTTTTGAGCCACACTGCTAGGCAGGTGAGCCTAGCCTTAGTATTAACTTCACATAAGAGTGATGGTGCATTCTTCATCTGAAAGGAATAAGCAATGAATGCATGTGAATTCCAGTGGTAACGTTACTATTTGTAGCAGCCAAGCAAATCTATATCACACCAAGGCCCCTTCTACACTGCCATATAATTCAGATTAGTAGAAAATCCACATGGTTTACTTTGAACGGGATTATATAACTCTACATTGCCATATAATCCAGTTCAAAGATGATAATCTGGATTTTATATGGTAGTTTAGAAGGGGACTAAGTTATTTACACTTCAACCCCAGTGAGACTTTAGCATGAAAAAGATTTCATGACTAACTGATTTTGATGGGTCATCTGAGTAACACTCAGGTTTGATCCAACCCTGTATCTCAAGAAACTAATACATACTTGCATACTTAAAGGGAATCTATTTAGAGTCCAATTATGTGGATAGAATGCATAGTAAAGGTAAAGGTTTCCCCTGACATGAAGTCTAGTCATGTCTGACTCTGGGGTGTGGTGCTAATCTCCATTTCTAAGAGAAGAGCTGGTGTTGTCCGTAGACACCTCCAAGGACATGTGGCCAGCATGACTGCACGGAGCACTGTTACCTTTCCACCAAAGCAGTACCTATTGATCTACTCACATTTGCATGTTTTCAAACTGCTACGGTGGCAGAAGCTTGGGCTAACAGTGGGAGCTCACCCTACTCCCTGGATTCAAACCACCGACCTTTGGGTAAGCAAGTTCAGCAGCTCAGCAGTTTAACCTGCTGCGCCACCAGGGGATGCAAAGGTGGGTCAAATGGAAGGCTTCTACCTTTCGAACAACAAATTCTCGTGAGGCCTGAGTTTTGAGTTGATGGAAGTGGTTCACAAATCGCTTGTACATGGTGAATGGCACAGTGGGAAAGGCTACCAATTTGGTTCATATCACTTGATCAAACTGTTATCAATTTGCTTCCATACAAAAAAAGAAGATTCTGTTTTCACAGAAACTACATTTTAAAAAATGATTTAAAACTGTGGAGAACAAAATACAATATAACATTCATATTCAATTAAAAAATCATTTAATAAACAGATACTTTTAAATTAATATCCTATGAAATCAATAATAAAAACTATGTTTTTAAAAAAATAAAGATCACAATAGGACAGAACACAACAACAGTTTAATCACACCAGTGTTTTCCATATTAACACCAAAATAAGTTTCACACACAATATGGTCAACCAGTGAGTTTTATGTAATACTGCAGTCTTAAAAATTACAGAAATAGGCTATTATAGTACAAGTTGCACAAATACTAGCAGAATTCTAGCTCTTCAACACAGTCCTATATATCCTTTCCATTAACTATGCAAAATACAAACCTGGTCAAGATCAAGGCTCCACATTTTAATGTAGCCATCACTTGATGCAGTCACCAGTACACAAACACCTTCCCTTTCAAAACTGCTGATTTCTTTTATTCTATGAAAAAAAAACCATTGATATAAAATCAACAATAATTAAACAAGCAAATGTTTAGAAAACAGTTAATATTCAATAGATTGTGGCATGATATAAACAACTATTTTGAAACAAACCTAAATTTATATACAATATCTAAGGTTTCCCCTTGACATTAAGTCCAGTCGTGTCCAACCCTGGGGGGTGGTACTCATCTCCATTGGTAAGCTGAAGAGCCGGCATTGCCCATAGACACCTTCAAGGACATGTGGCTAGCATGACTGCACGGAGTGCTGTTACCTTCCCACAAAAGCAGTACTTATTGCTCTACTCATATTTTGATGTTTTTGAACTGCTAGGTTGGCAGGAGCTGGGGCTAACAGCAGGAGCTCACCCACTCCCTGGATTTGAACCGCTGACCTTTTGGTCAGCAAGTTCAGCAGCTCAGTGGATTAATAATATATATTTTAATAATATATTTTAAAATATCAATTGACACAATAAGTCCAAAGTTAACAGCTGACAATGCTGCTGTCTTCAAAAGGAAAGTTAAACAGATGCTTACTTCTAGGAAATTGAATAAATTACTGAACCAGGTTATCTTTGCAATGAAAATATATATCCCTTCATGGAACAAAACCCAAAGGATAATAAATTAAAATTACTTTAAAAACTGTACATAAGTTAAACTAAAACATGCAAAATATCCTATTATGTGAAAAACAGAAAATACCTGTTTTCATGAGCTTTAAATTCACAAAGACACTTTTGGGATTCACAGTCAAATAACCGTACAAATTCATCATCTCCTGCAATGGCAAGTATGCGGTCCTTAAAGAAAATAATTTTAAAAGTAGGTGAGACTGGAAATAGTTAAAATACATTAGCTATCCTAAGATCACTTTTCCTACTTACTGTAAGAAATTTTACAGAAGATATTCTCTTTTCCGTAACAATGGTGCCAGAGATCGAAGCAGTTGCAAGCTTGTAGATGTCCACTTTGTTTGCTATAACGACCAGATATAGCTCACCATTGGGTGACCATTTAACAAGATGTGCATCTAAATTAAGAGGAATAAATGAAAAAAAAATATTGTTGGAGAAATAATTCAAATACAGTAAAAAAAAAAACTTCCTGCAGAACAATAATAATAATGGCTCAATAAACATAATAAATAAACAATAAACAATAATGGCTCAAAGCTATAATAACCTTTAGAAGGACACAGCTATTTCTATAATGCAGAACACATCAAAAATGCACAGCGAAGGGAACGCACTCACTTTGTTTTAGATTTTTTATGAATGCAGATCTTCCTTCTACAAGGTTCCACGTTCTGGAAAAACAACAATGAATATTATTTTTGATATTTCTGTTACAAAAAGATCAGATGTGTAGTCTACAAGAATATAGATAGATGAGAAGCTAATTACTCCATGCTGGCCCTTCTTCCCAATCAGACAGAGTTCACAACCAGTGGGTCCCCCAATGTTTCGGCCTTCAACTCCTAGAAATCCTAACAGCTGGTAAACTGGCTGGGATTACTGGGAGTTGTAGGCCAAAACACCTGGGGACCCACAGGTTGAGAACCACTGCTATATGGGAAGAAAACAGAGAGAGGAAAAGAAACTTAAAAGGTTTCAGGTAAACTGAATGTAGGGTCATTAGATGTTTAAAGAGACTCCAGCCCTCTAGAAAATATGTAAACCTAGCAGAAGATATTTGCTTTTCAACTGGCAAACTGAGGTTTAAATCAAGTGGATTATGCCACCACCACAATTTTTGTTGTTGTTCTTGATCGCATTTTCCTTTCCTTTTTTTTTTAATGAGAAAAGAAAAATGGAGTAGAAGGAAACAATAACTGGTTGCAATGCAATAGAACAGCTTTCCCAACCTTGATACCCTCAACATATTTTAGATGTCATCCCTTAACTTTACAGGCAGAGATAGATGGGAAATGCAGTCCAAAACATCCTGAGGACGCCAAACTGGTAACAATTGAAGGATAAAAACTACTTGTTCATTCTTTTTAACACTTGCAAAAAAATTACTCAGCACAGCATTTCCTCATAACAAATTACAATGTCCAAATTACCTTTGTACATACAACAGTTGAAGTGTGAATATGGGCTTCAACAATTTCTGAAGGGAAGTGGTAATATCTTCAATATTTCTAGGAGCAGTAATTAACTTCCTACATAGATTACAGAGACCTTTTCATTGCTGAATATTAAAAAACCCCAAATGGAGTCTGGGACATGTGCATCCTTTTTGGCATGTGTGCATTCTAACAAGGCGTATGAATATTCTGGTGAACTTACATTACTGTATATTGAAAACATTCTTAAAATATACTGCGAAATATGCAAGAGAATGTCAAAGCAAGGAGCTTGCTCTTCAAACAAAAGGGCTGAACAAAACATCTTGTGGCACCTTAAAGTTTAATGAATTCACCAAATAAAAAAAAACTGCTCAAAAAGCTGATGCAATAGCAGATGTATTGGGCTTAAATCAAATTGCCAGCTCAAACTAAGGAACAGGCCCATTGAACAAACCTATAAATAATAAGACAATATTTCTGTTAAACCCATTAATTTGGGATTCCAATACATGCACTTCTATAAATCTTTATGATTGTCTGCATGCTGCAGTAAAGCAACATGGCTACTTTTCTGTTTTAGAAAATGATTTTTAATTACATTTAGTTTATTGAAAAGAGAAGTATACATTTGAAATAAAAATGTAAAAGCTTTCTGAGGATTGTGGACTTACCTTAATGTCTTGTCTGTACCTACTGACAAAGCCAACTTTCCCGATGGATGAATAGAAAGGGATGTTACATGCCCCCTAATTAAAAAGAATAAGTAACACACGTGATTAATAATTCCCATTTTGATCATTTGTAATTTGATATCTCAAACCTTTCTCCAGAACCTATTTTACTGAAAATTCTGAAAAAAATGTCAATCAAAGATTGGAATATAGCTTCTTCAAAGATATGATATCCTACAAAGAGACCTGCTAATAGGAATAAGAGATTCTTTTAAAGAGGATCAGCATGGGAGAACTCATCGATTCAACATAGTCACTAGAAGTACAATGCTTCAGTGTTCTGGGTTGCTGTGAGTATTTTGTGCTGTATGGCCATGTTCCAGTAGCATACTCTCCTGATGTTTTGCCTGCATCTGTGATCAGCATCTTCAGAGGTCTGACCTCTGAAGATGCCAGAAAAAAATGCAGGTGGAATGTCAGGAGAGAATGCTACTGGAACATGGCCATACAGCCCGAAAAACTCACAGCAACCCAGTGTTTCCAGCCATGAAAACATTCAATGACACATCTTCAGTGTTCTGTTTATCAACTTTACCTGATAAACTAGATTTGCAGTAGTCTAGCTACAGTTCTTCATGTTATGATAAACTCGCACATATAGTTCTACATGTCTCTGAAATTGATGCTGAAGCTCCAGTTAGTTTCAAACAGGGCTACAGAGTTGTTACCAAACACTGGAAAATGTGAACACATTACAGAAGTAGTTCATGTGGTTCACTGATTTCTAGTCCATATCTATATTTGATACAGATTACTAGTATTAACTTTTCCTAAGCAGCTTGGGACATGCCAACCAAAAGGAGTAATAGTACAGAGAATGCTTTCTTACTGATAGCACCAGCTATGGGTGCCCTCCTCAAAGAGACTTACTGGGCCCACATTTTGTAATTCTTTTGCTGAGAAAAAATTAACAATGCCGATTTTAAGGGATTTGTTAAGGCTTTCATGGGTTCTGGGGTTTGACTTTTTAAACATTCCTGATTTTATTGTTTTATTTCTGCTCCTCACATCATATTGTGGTTAGACTTTTATTCCTGACATCCTTGTATTAAAATTACGCATGTCATCCACAGAACCCTGGTTATTGTGCAGGGAAGCTGATGACAAATAATTTATTTTTATTTATCGTAGCAGAAGCAAACTAAGGGAATAGTTGTAATGTATTTAAAAACACAAACTAAGTTTTAAAACTTGGCATTATACTAAATGTCCTTTGACCTGTAGCTGGCCACTCTACTGTTGCTATAAGAAATCCTCCATTGTGCACGTGGCAGGGTTCAGACTGCATTGTAGTAGGTCGTCTGTGGTTTGCTATTCTCCACACTCGCATTTATTATGATGAATAACAAAAAGAGTTGTTTTTTAGGAGCAGTATGCAATGTGGAATTTGTACTCCCACCCTAACTTTGACCCACCACAGCTTTCTGCATCATATAACACACCATTCAATATGGTCTCTGGATTATTTCAACCCATATTTGAGAATGAGTGTGAAGGAATAAGCAGAAAACTGACTGCACAATCAGAATTCAACTTGGACAACTTTGGATCCAAACCACAAGATATCTAAAATGGGGAGAAAGGGAGATAATGTCTGCAAATACTTACTTGTGAGCTTTAATGGATTTCAAACATTCCCATCTTTTTGTGTTCCAAACACACATAAAGCCATCTTCAGCTCCACTCAGTAGGTGAGCATTTCCATAGAATTCCAAGCAAGTTACAGTGCCTGAAGACCAATGCAAATGGTTTGGTTTAATAATCTAATTTAATGTAAGGCATATATTCAAAAGTAGAATAGCCTACTTACTTTTAAGCATGTGTTTCTACTTTGCAAATCTGCACACGTACTGTAACTAAGCAGTTAATGGAAGACATTATTTGATATATAAAATAATTCCTGTTCATTTGAGTAACTTTCTAACACGATGTACAATTTATGTAACATTTAAGTCCATGGAAACACATTTTATCACTGTTCATGTTACTTGGAAGTGGAAATTTCACCTGAAGTAACTTAAATCATATCCTAAATAATATGTGATGAGTCAGTGTTCCACATGCAGCTCAGGTTATACATAGTACTCCACTACAGCTGGTTTCCCAGGCATAGAAGATATTCCTCTTGGCAAATAAGTTACTGGAGATTTTCACACTATATTATCACTACATCTCCATGCTATTTCCATGTAAGCAAGGACTTTTTCCATAAATGCAAAGACTGTATTTGTAAACCTTTTTCAAGTATCTCTGTACATACCATGTATATTCATGTATAAGTTGATGGCAAGTTTTGGGGCCACAATTATACATCTCAATATGACCCATGGAGAACTCAAGGGCCATTACACAGAGAGAAGAAAGCACCGACACCAGGTTAGGCGGCCAACTGTCATTTTCCAGCCCAGCATTCAAAAAAGCCAAAAGAGGTATCCCAGTAGAAAAAGCAGACAGGATCACTTTTTTCTAGGTTCTCCAGGGATGGACAAAGTTTTTGTCTTTCACTATTCTAATCAGAGAAAGGGATGGCTCCTTTTTGGATAAGAAATGAAGTACAGTAATCCCACTGATTTCTGGGGGTCAGTTCAGGTTTTGCAGGTTGTTTTTCTAAGTTAATTTAGATTTCTACATAAATATATAGGGTACACCCTGTTGAAAAGCATCATTTACTAATGCACATCTGGCTTCCATTACATGCAGTTAATACAAGGGCAGGTTGTCTTACCATTGTGCTGCATCAGTGCACCATGTTCTACCTTCTTTTTCATATCATAGATTTGCATGGTTTCATCCTTGCTGCCAGTGACTACATATCTATCATTAGTTGCCAGCGCTGACAATGAAGCACTGTGGGCATGGTGGGTGAAATCAGGAACAGCTTCCCACTTCTGAAAACAAAATATAAAATGAATTAATATTTGGAAAATTTTGTCTGAAAAAGTAGGGTTTTTTTTCCAGTTTTCATATGACATTCTAATGGCCCAATATTTAAAACACAATCAAAACACACACACCACAGTTAATACTTTGTTATATCTTTTGATCCAGCTAAAGTAATAATTACGGACATCCTATGAAAGCAATGGGCTTTACAATCATAACTGTAATGATTCTCAGTGGGATTCGGCTATGATTAACACTATGGGCGTCAAGTACAAAAGAAAAATCTAGCCAACTGTAAATTGTAAATGTTTTCCTACTCTTATTTTTATCATATACAAGGAAATTACTGTCCATTGGAAACAAATTTGGTGGAGTCTCCTTCTCTTGAGGTTTTCCAACAGAGGCTGGATGGCTATCTGTTGTGAGTGCTTTGATTGTATTTTCCTGTATGGCAGAAGAGGGTTGGATTTGACACCACAGGCCTTCAGCCCTGGAAAAGCCACACAAAGGATGGGAAGCACTGTAGTGGAGAAAAGGAATCTCTAAAAAGCTAAGAATAGGCATCTAATGCTAATAGATTCTGACGAAAGGCCCACACTGACTCCAATTCATAATCCATACAATGATAACAAAGTTGTACCTTACTTTTAAAAATCTGTCTCTGAATCAGCACTGTCCAATTACTGTACTGTATTTATTTTTTGGCTTTTTAAGTCCCTTCCACTGTGTTTTCCAGTGTTGTTATGAGTGATGGTCACTCGTTGGCCTGTGAGGTGTATTGTGTCCAAATTTGGTGTCAATGTGACCAGTGATTTTTGAGTTATGTTAATCCCATAAACATTACATTTTTATTTATATAGACTAGCTGTACCTGCCTGTACATTGCTGTAGGAAACCTTCCCTCCCTCTTTCTCTCCTTTCTTTCTCTCCTTCCTTCCTTTTTTCTTTTCTTCTCTCCTTCCTTCCCTCCCTTCTTCCCCCTTTCTTTCCCTTCCTCTGGGAGCTGTAGTCCAGAAGAGAGTGTCGAGGTACACTACTGTGTTTTGTTTGCCAGAGGGAGTCATGTTTGCGCATGTGCTGTAGCATCTTTTTGGCTTTTAAACTCCATTCCTGTGTTTTCCAGTGCTTTTATGAGTGACTAGCTGTACCTGCCACATGTTGCTGTGGTCAATCTTCCCTCCCTCTTTCTCTCCTCCTTTCTTTCTCCCCTTCCTTCCTTCCCTCCCTCTTTCCTCCCTTCCCCCTTTTTCTTTTCCTTCTTTCTTCCTTCTCTACTTGTTTATTTTCTTGCTTCCTTTGTTCTTTGGTTCCATCCTTTCTTCCCACCCTTTCTCTTTCGTTCCTTCTCTCCTTCCTTCCCTTTCATTTTTTTTATTTCCTTCTCTCCATCCTTCCCCCTTTCTGTGTTTTGTGTGTATATATGCATATATGTGTGTATATGTGTTTGTGTGTATATATGTGGTTTTGCAATGTAGTATACTTTTTGTTTTTTGTCTTTTTGAGTCCCTTCTGCTGTGTTTTTATAACTGATGGTCACTTGTTGGCCTGATGGGTGTCTTGTGTCCAAATTTGGTGTCAATTCGTCCAGTGGTTTTTATTTATATAGAGAACCGTATTCTCAATTTGCTTCTGACAAGGTAAATAAATAAATTGTAGTGAGGAGTTTGACAAGGCCTTTAGACTTAGAGTGCTAGTGCCTCCAAAAAAAATAAAACCTCCCAGGATTTCCACAACTCTGTGCCAAGGCAGCGAAAGAGGTCCCAAACTGCATTCATTTACAGTGTAGACGGCCCCTTAACCCTCCCAGGCCTCCAATCAGCAGGACCCGGAAACTGCAGGGCGGGCCTTCGCGCGGGAAGCGCCGCAGAGGCTTCTGGGAGGGAAGGCGACCAACCACGCTGCTGCTGCTTCCTCCGCCTCGCGCACGCCGGCGCCACGCGACCCAGCAGGGCCCTCGCGGTGAGTAGAGGCCCGCCACCTCTCCCTCCTTCCCCTCGTTTACGACACCCCGCCCCTCTTCCTTCCTTCTTTCTTTCCTCACCTCGCCCGGCCGCACCGCGAATCCGAATAGGACCTGTTCGTAGCAACCGCCCAACAGCTCCATTCTTGCAGCGGCGCCCCGCACATGCGCAGTCCCTTCCCTCTCGGCCTTTCTCGGGGTCGTCTACTTCACTGCCTGATCAGGATCCGCGACGATTTTGAGGAGAGCCTCTTCCTATTCAGAGGCCGCGGTGAAGGACACAGAGAGGGAGGAAGTGGTCCTAGGCGAAGTGAGCAGGCGCTCGCCGGGCAGCCTCCGCCGGAAGTGCTTGGAAGGAAGGAAGGAGGGAGGGGCGGCGCCTTGGAACCTTGCGAGTCGTGATGGCGGCGCTCGGGAAGGCCGGTGACGTTAGTATCCCTGCCGTTGGGGCGGCTGGAGGGGCGGGAAGGGGCTCCTTTTGCCGCGGGGACGCCACTACATGGGGGGCTGGCCTCTCCTCGCCCTGTTCGCGGCCCGCAGCCCGCCTCTCCCCTTCCCTTCCCTCCCCCTCAAGGAGGCCCCGCGCCCTTGCTGCCTCCCGCGTGTCAGGCCAGGGAGGGCGCAGCGAAGGGGTGCTACCTTGTTATCTTCCGAACAGCCTCGGGGCTGGGAAGGCGGGACATGGCGGCGGGGCAGACATCTTCAGAACAGCCTACCCGAAAATGCATAGGGACCAGAGTAGAATGGGGCCCAGCTCTAGACCTGAAACTCAGTTAGCTTTCCAGAGTTACAAACATCCGACTTGCAAACAACTCGTATTATTATTATTATTATACTACATTTATACCCCACCCTTCTCACCCCAGTGGGGGACTCAGGGTGGCTTACAATCCATGGCATACAATGCCGCATTACACATATAATAATAAACATAACATATGAATTTAAACAATTAACATATCAATTTAAACATACAATAACAAACGAGATAATAATTCGAATATAAATACAATACTTTATTTATTTATTTATTAACTTTATATCCCGCTAACATCTCCCGAAGGTCTCGGTGCGGCTTACAAGAGGCAAAGGCCCAACACAATTTTTGTAGTTAAGAACGGGGTTGAGACAACAGGAAGTGAGATAAATCTACCCCTCCGAAGGGAAATTCCCCCCTGAAAGAGTTATCATGGGGGAAAGGTGTCTCCACGAAATAATCATAATCATCATCTTTATTTATACCCCGCCACCATCTCCCCAAAGAGGACTCAGGGTGGCTACCATGAGGCCAAGCCCAAAGGTACAAGACAACAAAATAAAATACAGAATGCAGACAATAAAAATTACATCAAAATAAAATATGTACAGTAGCAAAATAAGATAAATAAATTAACAAAATATAAAATCAAACAGAATGAGCAGGCCAAATGAACGAGGCAAAATGATAAAGCGCTGGATGAGGTAGGAAAGAAAATATGTAATTAAGGGGAACCCAAAAAGAATAAACAGTGGGGTAGTCTTTCAGTTTAGGAAGCTTTATCACCATTCCTTGTCTCCACAACAAACCACATTTTTCGAAATCCAGTTGTCACAGGGACAGAAATTATAGTTTATTATTATATTTATTTATACCCTGCTTTATCTCTCCTGTAGGGGATTCAAAGTGGCTTAACATAAAAGCATCAGCACAAAACATACAAATATGCAAACATTAAAATATGATTATTTAATTGCTGCATTTATATGCCACTTTTTCACCCCTGAGAAAATATAAACTGTATTGAAAAGTCCCCATTAAAAACTATAATAAACAAAATCAAAGTTAAAAACCACAGCACCCCCTGACTAGATCTTAAACACTACCATCTTTAAAAGCCTGCTTGTGAATGTAAAAGTTTTTAGCATGCTACCAGCAGGACAGTGGGGGGGGGGGGCAGTCTGGCTTCCCTGGAGGAAGGGAGTTCCAGAGTCGAGGGGAAGTCACCAAGAGAGAAAGCCTGCTCTGCCGTTCCCACCAACTGAGGTGGAGGTGGCACCAAGAGAAGAGCCCCCTGAAAATCTCTGGGCTGGGGCAGGTTTGTACAAAGGGATGAACCATCTAGGACAGTGGTTCTCAACCTGTTTGGCTTTCAACTCCCAGAAATCCTAACCACTGGTAAATTGTCTGGGATTTCTGGGAGTTGTAGGCCAAAACACCTGGGACCAACAGGTTGAGAACCACCAATCTAGGGCTTTAAAGGTCATATCCAGCACTTTGAGTTGTGCCTGGAAACAGACTGGCAGCCAGTCAAACTGCTGCGATGTGGGGGGGGGGGGCACTCCCTGTAGCCAGCCTCAGTTAGCAACCTGGCTGCAGCTCTTTGGACAAGCTGAAGTTTCTGAGCACTCTTCAAAGGCAGCCCCACATACAGTATGTTACAGTAACCCAGGCAGGATGTAACTAAAGCATGTACCACCATGGCCAGATCTGCTTTTCAAGGGATGGGGACAGTTTTAATTGTGCAAAGGTCCTCCTGGCAACCACCAACACCAGGGCCTCCAGGTTCAATGCCTGAAAGTGAGATGTTTTTCTGTCAGTGGCACAGACAGCAAAACAAACCCCACAGGAGTGTTAACCCTTCCCTCTACTAGCCAAAGCTAAAAGATGCATATTTTTGGCTGCTCTTACACTTAAAAAATGCAGCTGATCAGATTTACATACAAATTCAGCTTAAGTACAGTCCTACAGAATCTTGGGGACTGCTTGTACACTTTGTACGCATAGACCAAAGTTAATTTTATACCTAATATTTTTAATTTTAATAATTTTAATAATGTTTGTGCAGGTCCCCTATGAGATGAGACGCAATTCTAAATTTGACATTCATGTACCAGTCATATACGTCTCCTGAAGTTAACTTTATACACAATATTTTTCATTTTTAATAATTTTGTGCATGAAATGGAGTTTGTGTACATTGCTTATACATAATGACATAGAGCTCATTCTAAACATGAAATTCATTTATGTTTCTTATATGTTTCATACAGATAGCATGACGGTATGGTAATTTTGTACACAATGTTTTAATAATTCTTTATTTGTTATCCTTGTGTTATAAATGTATGGCTGTAAAACGCTATTTTATTTCATTTGTTTTTACTACAGTGAAGTTATCTCAAGGAAGAAAATACCAAAAATATTTCAGTGTAAATTATTGGGATTTTGGAATATATTGGATCACATCTACAAATACTTGCCATCCTCTCTATCCACAGTTCTTTTTATCTGGCAGTTTCTGTAATAGATACTTACAGGTAAGTTCATTAGGAAACATTAAATTTCAGTTATTAAATCTGAAGAATTAATTGCAGAGCAAACTGTCTTTGTTCTCTTAGTATGTGTCTTGCAAGTGGAACAGTATCAATGTACATATCAGGATTGTTAATCTATACAGATAACTACTGAACCAGTATTTAAAATCATATTATTTAATTTAGAATCTGTATGTTTGAAGCCACAGTGCAGCCAAACACATGCTGCTGGAAAGATGCACTAAGGCAGTGCTTTATGAGCTGCTTGCAGACATGCCATTTTCATCTACTTTGCCTCTTAGAGGCATGATGGTGAATGAATGGACCTTTGATCTAATACAGTAGGGTTATCTGCAGTTTTAAAAATAAAGTATCCTCTTAATTAGTAGTAAGATAATGATTTACAGAAGCCAAACACTTGGATTGAAAGCTGTGAGCAGTAGTGATAGTGTGCAAGTTGGCCTTCCCATGCATAGGTACATCTTTTATACTACAGTCTAAATCCATTCCAGCAACAGTTACCAATTTTTGCCAGTGATTTGGCACGTGGGTTTATTCAAGATAAACAACTATCCAATATAGCTTCACTGCTATTGCTCAAAATATATAGGTGATACTGGAGAGTCTGCTGATTGTAACCTTAGTTATTTGTATTGTTATGAATCTTTCAGCTAAGATGTGCTATTGTAACACTTGTTCTCCATTTCAAGTTACTTCCAGGGTTCTGTTACAGCATTTTATTAAAATGTGTGCTCATATATGCATGAAAGGAAAATGCTGTGCAGAATAATGATTATGTTCTTCTAATTTAATACCCCAAGCAACATGGAGGACTAAATGTAATTGCTAAGTTCTAGTTAGAGTAGCCCATAGAATCAGGGGAGCTAACTCAATGTATAGTGGACCTTAGGCATTGCTTGCCAGACTCTTGTTAATTCTGGTGTGTCTATTTCAGATTAAATTTAGTCTTGAACATTTTGGTAGTTAAAAAGAGGGGAAGAATAAATTGAGTTGAATGCATGTTCTGAGATTTCAGGCATTGTCACAACTGAGAGACATTCTGTTTTGAAAATTTATAATAATGCAGCACATTTGATTTGTATTTGAAATAGAGAGGAATGTATCATGTTAAATTTATTTTCTGCATAAATCTATTAGTTTTTCCCTCTAGTTAGATATAGTAAGAATGAATTTGATTAGAACAATTCAATAAAATTAGATGGAATGTTTATATTCAAATATATTTAGTACTTGTTCTGAAAGTATTATTTCTACTTCTGAAATACTTGTGAATACTTAAGACATGAATTCTTACTAGTGTGCAGTTCTCTACACTTACAGTACATTTTAAGAAAAAAATGTTCCTCAAGTTTGAAACAGGAATTTATGTACTAAATTTTAGCATATCCAAAGAGCTATGCAAAGTCTGTGTACTTCTCTACCTGTTTCTTTCCTCTTCTCTCCCACATAGCTTCTAGGGGTAGACCCTTTAATAAAAAAGATTAGCGGCAACTTTCAAACTGGTACAACTTTGAGTCCCCTTTTGGGGGAGATAAAGCATGGTATAGATAAATATAAAAATAAATATAATAATGCTATGTATTATGTAATGTTTTAAAATGTTTTAATGTGTATTCTTTCTTATTTTAATTTAAATGTTTAATTTAATTGTATGTTGTTTTCAGGTATTTAATAATTGCCTATATGTAAAGCTGCCTTGAGTTTCCTTTGGGGTTGAGAAGGGCAGGGTATAAATATGGTAAATAAATAAAATAAATACTTCAAGATAGCATTCCAATCTTTATTATGTAGTCACAAAGCATTAAAACAAACAATATTATATGTGCAAAATACAATATAAAAGGTAGACAATTTAAAACAGACCACAGTATTATATCAGAATTCTATTTTGTTGTACATGCTGAATAGTGGAACAGTTAAACCAGTCAGCTAAACAGGCCTTCTGTTATTTAAAAATGAATAATGGCATCTGATCTAGGCAGGGTGTTGCCATTCTGGCCTTTTCTCTAACAAGCCAATGATATAGCCTGTAGTTGTTGGATAAGAGATGACACAGCAACAGGAGTGAATTAAGTATAAAAATCATGCACTAAGTATACAAATGTACAATTGCATCACTGTTGTGATGTTGGAAATTTGTTATTTTAACAACACATTTCTGCAAACAAGGGTTTTCCTCTCATATTTTCTCACAAAAGACTGTGGAGTCAAGCTACTGTGGGATTCTGGGCAGTGATGTACTAGAGTCTCACCCTGGGACTTTCTCATTTCCAGGGACCGGGACCTCATCTCTCCCCCTTCCCTCAGCTTGGGCTTTTGAGATACATTGAATTGCAGTTTCCATTGTACTCAGAAGGAAAATGTATGTTCTTAGCAACAATGCATTTTGGCTTATCCCTGTTGTAATCCAAAGTACATGCATGTTAGGGTGGCTTCATCTTAAATGTGCAATGAAGATCTGTTACCTTTAAAGAAGACTTGCTATAATAGAGATGACAACTGCTAGAAACTGGGTTTCATGTGATCAATATACATGCTTCCATTTTTGGACACTCACTTGAGGATTGCTATCGGGCAGACATGGACAAACTTTCTGACTTGGGGGCCGCAGGGTGGGCTGGAGCAGGGTGGACAGGCTGGGAGGGAGGAGGTTCTCCTCAAGCCCCCTCCCTGCCCTTTCCTCCCCTTCCTCTTCTATTTCAGTGGTTCTCAACCTGGGGTCCCCAGATGGTTTTGGCCTTCAACTCCCAGAAATCCTAGCAGCTGGTAAACTGGCTGGGATTTCTGGGAGTTGTAGGCCAAAAACATCTGGGGACCCCAGGTTGAGAACCACTGATTTCGGAGGCAGAAAGTGAAGGAAAGATTGGAAACGTTTGGCTCCCCAAAAGGTTGGTCTTTTGTCAGGATGAGATGGTTGACAGGAGAGACAAGTGTATCAATTGGATGCCGTATTGCCTATTCTTGATATAGAATCCTGGAGCTGGAAGAGACCCCAAAGGGCCATCCCCTGCCATGCAAGAAGGCACAATTAAAGCACGGCCTCTGCGGAAAAGCCTCCAGAGAAGGAGACTCCACCACACCCCGAGGCAGCCTATGCCACACTCCATGAAGTTCATTCTAATCTTTTCAGTCAAATCTCTTTCCCTGCCATTTGAAACCATTGCTCCCTTGTGCCCTGGTCTCTAGAGCAGCAGAAAGTCAGTTTCCCCCCTTCTCAATGGGGCACCCTTTAAAATCTTGAAACATAGCTGTGTCTTTGGCTAATTAATTTCCCCCAGAGTTCATACCTTTTCTCTCTTTTTTAAAAACAGTCTACCAGAAGAACCACTACAACCCATTATTTTCTTGTGAAGACTTTTTTAAACCATGGCTAGCCAGGTAAGATCACTTGATGGGAATGAAACCGCAATTGTAACACCTATGGGGAATCCACATTCATACGCAGAGCTGTTGGCAGATGTTAAACATAACCCTAATATTTCTGGGAGAGGGCTGGCGGTGGGAGGGGCTTAACCCCCCAGGCTTTCCTCAGAACAATTTCTGACAGATTGTTCTCCCCTGCTGTGGAATCATTAATCCAACTGAACCAGCTTGGGGCAGAACAAGAAGCTTTGCTTTCTGCACTGCTGCACAGTGGTGGGACTTTCCTATAACATCCTTTAGGATGCCTTCCCTGGAGCAATAGAAGCCAAATGATACCATCCATGTAAGTAAATGAAAATGGTTAATATGCCTCCCAAAGATGAAGGATATTGCCATCATGCCTTGGCTACTGCTCTCCTTTGCTTTCCCTATTCATTTATCAGCCTCTGCTGCCCTCTTTTGAATGTGGCATTTTTGTCACTTGCATGCCATTGGTATGAAAGCTGGGCCCTTGGATCTGCTTTATAGTTTTCCTAATATTGTTGTTTTCAGGTAGGAGCTACTACCTGATAGTACAGAATGTTTGAGGGAAGAGACAAAATCTTCCTTTAAATTGAGATTTTTAAAAGGTGGGATGGCTAATGTAACTCTGGATCTCATTCACTGGACCTCCTTTGCTATAGTTTATCCGAATGAGTCTCAGAGGAATCCTAGCGGGGTCCTATTTGAAGGCAAACCTTACAAATACATGCTTGGCCAGCCTCTTATTGGTTAACTTTTTTTTTGTTGGAAAATGAAAGAACCCAAGGGAGTCAAAATGTTGGTGTGAAAAGCGGTCACGCCTATAGCCAGCTTGACAAAGTCAGGGGAATATGGCTTTTCATACAATCCTTTGGCTCTGTTATTTTTGCCAGGCATTTTCCCCAGAGGCTGCTTTCCCTCATGGGAGGCGGAGGGAGAGATGGGACCCCAGGCTTCTGTCAAGGGAAAGGTGAATATGGGGAAATCACCAAGGTGGTGATCGGGAGAGGGTGGGAGGCATGTAATTGAGATGAAATACTGTATAACTGTTTTTCATTCTAGCAGGATACAGTGGGAAAGGCCCAAACAGAAAGCCTGCCTCTGTGGTGGAGATCCCCCCACAAAAAACGGAAGAAAAAGAGTAAAGCAAGAGCAGGAAGACCAGATTTTACTAGTATTCCAAGCAGGTGAAGAAACCTTGAAACTGACAAGAAAAAAGATGGCTCTTGTCCTTACAATAGTATCTAAATCAAGTAGCGAGAAGTTAATAAAACCAACACACTAGATTGACCACAGAATCTTTTGTAAAGCTTTGTGAATAAAAAACGCACCTCACATAGCTGAATAGACTACGAAATCATATAGTGGCGCTTTTAATACCTATACATATATATTAGTAACTTTCAAAGGCTGGTTGCAAACCGATTTGAATTAAAACAATTTGAATTAAAACAATTTTGAAAGGCTTCAATAGGCAACGGTTCCTGGTCTGTTTCAAGAATGCTCTCTTAAGCATGAAGGCTGATCCATCTGATGATAGACATCCTGACTATTCAAGATCATTCTGCGCTGTTGGGTTGATTACTGCTGCCCCAAAGGTTTTCTAATTATCCCTTCACAGTCTAATTTAAGATGTTCTGTGTCCATTGGAACCTTTTTACCGTGATGCTTATTGTTCTGCTTTGTTCAGTACTATATCAGCTTCATCTTGGAGGATGCATGATGAATGTTCACAATGGGTAGAAAGCTAAGAAAAATGCTGATGCTAAAAAAGTTTTATTCATTTTGTAGTTAGGAACGGAATTAAAACCAAGGCTGCTGCAGGATGTTTGCAAGCATAATTTATTTCCACAATTAGGTCCCTAATAGGAGGCAAACTGTAATTTTGACCATGGTTAGCTAAATATTTGCATTTATACTTATTTGCCAGAATAGTTATTCAGAAGCTAATTGATGCTTCATTTTTATTCTTTTGACTTTTTGGGAAATACAGACAGGATGTATTTGAATATTTTGGCATTCTGGGTCGTAAACATTGCTGGACTAAAGATACTTATTAAAATACATATGGCCCTTGTCTTCTCCTTTGCACATAGCAATTGGGATGCTTAACATGGGATTTTGAAAATATTCAGTTAATGTAACTCATAAATGGAAATGTGTGGTTCATGATCTCCCTGCCTTGCTTCTTTCTAAATTGGGAGCACACAGAACAATTAATGTGTTAGATTCATAATTCTGAAAGAAACAACCATAACAGTGCAGCTTTTTGCTGCCCAATAAGATATTTCTCATGTGAGCTCTCTGCACATAGTCTAGGTGTCCCATAAGCAGAGAGTTGGAATGACGAAGTTGTATCTCATCAATGTTATTTATAGAATAAAGATGTAATTTCACTCAATATAGGAGGAATATAACCACCAATATATCTGAAATGAACAACATAAACTGTTTTAATTATTTTTCTGCATGTGGTTAATAGTGTACCACTGTTGTTATTGGCTAGACAGTATAACGTTATTAACAATTTAAATAGTCTTTGTATCTTTTCAGTTGTCTTGGTGACAGTGAAATAATTATTGTAGTGAATGAAGTAATCTTGAACATTCTCATAGACAGAAGTATTCGGGACTAAGCACTTCCAGGGTGACTGTCTTGAATCACTGGGAAACATAGATGAATAAGAAAAACAGCCAGCTACTTAAACTAGGGTTTACGTTAACATTGGCTAATTAATTGCCAACAAGGTTGCATCAATTTAATAGTCTGTAAAGGTAATTTGTCCTGAGGCCGCAGCCCTCGGGCAGTTCCATCTGAAGTAGATTTTCAGTAGAAGTGGTTAGAAGAGCCTTGCTGAAACATTGCTTTCTTCTGTGCATGGTGCCAGTGAATGCACCATGGACAAGGACAAACAAGTATTGGCTGGATCAAGTCTAGGTAGGTATTTGGGTAACACCCAGTGTGGAAAGTAATGTAGTGGATACAGGGCTCTGAGGTTTGCACTAGAAGAAAACTGATGTTTTTTCTTTCCATTGTTTTCAGGCCAGAATTTCCACGGCAAGAATTTGTTAGGGCAGAAAGTTACAGGCCAGAATTCGCAATATTTGTAGGTGATTTGACTCCTGAAGTGGATGATTTCTTGCTTTTTGACTACTTTTTCAAACGGTATCCATCATGTATAGATTGTAAAGTGGCGACAGACCTCTTGGGTTATTCCAGGTAATTTATCACGTATGTAAAATATTGCTTGTAAGACACAATGCTGACAATGGCTTGGTTGGTCTTTGCTTTATTGTTAAAAATGAGGGGTTCATCCTTTAAATTGTTGATTGGAGGGAGGCAGTGGTCTGGGTGAAACATTCCATCTCTTAAAACCAGTGGGAGGTAGGTCTGAGGTGAGCATTGTTACCGAGAAGGGGTGGGTAACTGTTGCGTGAATCCCAACCCCAGAGATTTGTGTGTAGGACCAGGAGATAACCTTCCAACTCAAAGTGGATCCGAATGTGGCTATATCCCATAAGGAGCTTTTGAGGACAATAAAATTTTGTGAGAGGAAAATGGGGGTTGCTGGGGGCTATATCCAACACAAAAGTTTTGCTCATTCCAAGTATGTTTCGTTCAGAAACTGAATATATAGAGATGTCCAGCTTAGTTCTCAGGAATCTTAAGCTGTATCTGGGTTCATTCTTCTATAAGACTAGGGTTTTTTTTTAATCATGTCAGAAGTGACTTGAGAGCATACTGTAAGTCTCTTCTGGTGTGAAAGAATCAGCCATCTACTAAGACGTTGCCAGGGGTCATCCGGATGGGTTGCCATCCTGTGGGAGGTTTCACTCATGTCTTTGCGTGGAGAACTGGGACTGACAGATGGGAGCTCATCCCATCTCACAGATTTGAATTGCCGACCTTTAGGTCAGTAGTTCAGCTGGCACAAGAGTTTAATCCATTGCGCCACCACAGGTTCTTTATAAGAGTAGTGATAATCCATGTACCTTCCTCTCTATTTGCAAGAAGGGTTAATGGAGCGTAAGAAAATACTGAATAAAAATGCCACATATATGTATTATTTTTTAACATTTAAATTTGCATTGAAAGGAGATCTCCATTAAATACAATAGTATTCCAGTATAACAAAAGCAGAAAAAATAAGAGCACAGATGGAGAAAAAATAGCCAAATTTCTCATACATTTCTAAAGATACTGACCAAATAGAAGTCCATTTATAAATGTTGTCAATCTTTGAAATGTTGCAAGCATTTCTAGAAAAAAAATCTTTTATCAGTTAGGATGGTGTGAAAAATCCACTTATAGTTTCTCTTCAGATAATGTAATTTTTTTCTCCTTGTACTAAATATCATGCCATGTCAATAGGATAGTGGGTTTTATTACTGTTGAACATCATGAAGAAAGGGAGATTGACTTACCAGAATCAAGTGTACAGACAAAATGGTAACATTCTAATTTACGTATGGCAAATAATTATTACAGTGCTGTTAAAATTTTACTGGATGAAACTAGTGAAAATGTCTTAAGTTCTTTGAGTCAGCTATTGTAAGTGACAGAGTTGGGCTTTAGTTTTAGTAAGCCCTAGAGTATGTTGTGAGGATACTATTGTTAGAGGTTTATGGCAGTGTGGATTTTTTTAGGTATTTAAAGGACTGTTTATTTCAAGTGAGAGTATTGGAGATAGAGATATCTCTTTCAGAGCAGCAAGGAATGCAAATGGTGAACTTAATGGGTTAGACCACTACTTTAATTCCATAATTAGAATACCTTCTGTTAAAACTCTTCAGGGGCTATGGCTTTGTCAGATTTTCTGATGAAGGTGATATGATGAGAGGATTGCAAGATTGCCAGAATGCACCTGGTCTAGGTGGAAAACGAATCCGACTGACGTTAGGAATTTCTAAAAGGTAATTTATGATAAACTTTCCACAGATCGCTTTTTCATTATGACTGTCACTTATATTTGATGCTCTGAGACCACTTTGTCATATATTGGGGGGGGGGGGGTTCCTAATAAGCAACATTTTTATCGCTGAAGAGCAAAGCCCAACTTCCAGTTCCTTTAAAAACTGTTTTAGTTGAATAAATTTTAATAGCTTTTATTCTCAATGTATTCCATACATTATAASTTATGTTACACAAGCAACCTATTTTTCTTGCTCCATTTATGGTTTCAGCATATAGTTACTGTTGTTTTTAAATAATTATGACAGTACTGAAGTCCACTTGAATTCCTTTAAAGTGTTTTCTTGTTCAGCTGAGAGAAGAAAAYTAACATTTCATTATGTATCCCCCCCCCCCCAAGGTATAATTTATATTAGTTCAGGTTTTATTTTGTGTTCTGAAGTCAATGTTTGGAGTTAAGAATGGTAAATTCAGGGGACAAATACAAGTAGATGAAATTTAAGTGTTGTCATCCAAAACTGCAGCAATATTATTCTCAAGACATGGATTTTCATTTTATTTTGCTCATCTGACAGATTATTAACATCTTGTTAAATTTATTTCATTATTTGATCAATTCTAAGAAGGCTTTCCATTTTCATTTTAGATTGAAAGTAGAATTTCAGAGATACCAGGCATATAGCTATAATGACTATTACCAGGATTATCAGAACTACTACCGTCAGTATAACTATGACAGAAATGAACGCTTTGATCGCTATGAACGTGCTGAACGTTTTGATCGAGGAGGACGTTTTGGTGACCGTTTTTCTGAGCGCTACCCTGAGCATTTTGGTGACCGTTTTTCTGAGCGCTTTGGTTCTCGTTTTGGTGAACGGTATTCTGACTACCCAGAATATGGAGATTATGCTGACTATGGAGATTATCCTGCTGAATACAGTGAATACAACTACAACTATGCATCTTATGAAAGGATGCAGCAAACTGGAAGTATGGGGCAGCAAGCAATGAATGCAGCTGTATATCAGGTATTTGCACAAATAAACATACAATTAATTTTTTGTGTAATTTTGTGTAGGCGAGAATATGGATTTAGAAATGTGTCTCTTTGCTGTATTTTATTTTTCAAAACAAACCATGCAGTAATTTAAAGCCTGTTTCACTTTTAAAACTAAATGAATGGGTGGCAGATTATAAATCTGAGTCTGATCTTGAGGAATTTGTATAATTTTGATGGGCTCTTTCATATTTTTGTTGTATATCTTCAAATCATTTCCAACTTACGCTCTCTAAAGTGGTCCTATCATGGGATTTTCTGGAGCCAAAGTCACCCAGTGGGTTTCCATGGCCAATTGGGGAATAACACTGGTCAAGAGAGTCATAATCTAACATTCCAACCCTTCACCACATTGACTCTGCAGTAAGTCCCCATTCCAGTTAGACTTGCTGCTAAGTGACCACAGTTATTGCTGATATCATGACACAGTATTATACTGAGAATGCGTTAGTCTTTATGAATTGTAGTGGTTTTATTAAGCAATAAAAATTAACATCAGCAGGACTTTGAGAGACGTCTGTGTAACCCACTCATATTCTTAAAAATTCCACATAAACATGGTGTTTGAATACATTTTATTGAAATGCAGTGGCCTATTGAGAACCCAACTCAGTCTTATTGTATTCAGTTGCAGTAGTGGAAAGTGACTTTCCTTAAAAGGGTATGTCATTTGAGCTAGGGATCAATGTAACTGTTTTTGCAGATATGCTTCAAGTGTTCATTTTTGGAAAATGATGCATGTTTTTGTCCTTTAGGATCCTTCAATGATGTATATGAATGATGATCTTATAACAGAAGGTAATTTTGTTAATAGTGGTACTTTCAAGTGATATCTGACAGCTTGTTTTATCAAGGATTTCTGCAATCACTAGTGGGCTTTACTACGTTGCTTTATAGGAGCATCTTTTCCATGTTTACCTTTCACTTTCTTAATTGGCTTGTTCATCAGATTGTAACTTGGCACAGCAGTGGAAAGAGAATTTTAACAATACAACTACAGCATGCTTTATATACTCACAAAATATTTCCCAAATGGTGTAGTTAATGGAGTATATAAACCAGTACACAAGCACACAATATTTGGTCCTGAAGTTTCATCTTATTTATGTGTTATGTGTGGTTTTTTCCTTAAACCATGTTTCCAATTCTCAAGATGATGCTACATTAGCCACATCTCAGCTAATTTCAAACTTTTCTCAAACCACAGTTACAGTTACATACACATCAAGAACTTTAGTTAGGAGCCCACGGTGGCGCAACGTGCCGGCAGAACTGCTGACCGAAAAGTCAGCAGTTCTAGTCTGGGGAATGTGGTGAGCTCCCATCTGTCACCTCCAGCTTCTCATTCGGGGGCATGACAGAAGCCTCCCACAGGATGGTAAAACATCTGGGCATCCCCTGGGTAACGTCTTTGCAGACGGCCAATTCTCTCACACCAGAAGCGACTTGCAGTTTCTCACGTCGTTCCTGACGGGGAAAAAAACCCCTTTAGTTTAATAACTATTGATCCACAGAAATCATCTAGTAAAAGTGGCTACTGGTTTGTTGGTGGTTTTATTTTTTTCTGATTCAAGTGTTCGAGCCTGTCCTTATGGCTTAAATATAAACTGCCAGTGTCAAATAAAGTCTGATTTAATTTAAATTATATAATAGTCATTAAGAGGTAGAAGAATCTATTGAAGATTACATGTGTTAAAATTGCTTTTGATAAAAATGTCTGAATATTTGCATGAATATTTCTCAGTCATTATGTTTTGTTTTGTCTGCTTTGAAACTTTGCAGGAGACCGATATTAATGTTCCAAGATTTGCTCTCACCTTACTCATCCTTTTGTGCAATTGCTTCACCAATTGTTTGTTCACCGATTGTTTGTTTCCTTGAACAGATCCACAGCTCCATGTAGATGTTCACAGAATGAACAGAGAATTTATGGTACGAAGCGAAGAACTCTTTGACACACTTATGAGCTGTCATTGGCAACCTCTGGATACCATCACGTCTGAGATTCCTACTGCTTATTAAAAGTGTCTTATATTAACATCATAGCATGACTATTACGACCAAGGTGCTAAATTGACATTTCTTCTACATTACTTTACATCCTGAGTTTGAAAGCACAGTGTTGTTTTTTTGCTATGCTTTGATGCCTTTGTAATTTTTGTTCATCACTCAATATCTTGAAATCATGTAAATATTCTAGAAATGTAAAGAGTTACTCTAAATATAGACTTCTTTATGTAAATAATAAAATTTGTTTCTGCAAACATGCCTATTGAAACTTATTTTTATCAGAGTATATGTGATCTAGCTTTTTAAAAAACAGAGTTTGGACCCTTGCTGGTATAGTACTGTAATTTCAGTGGCCATTGCTAGGGAAAGTACAGGTCTGGAGCAGAGCTTCTGAAACCTTTGCACTCGGGACTCCATTTGATCTGGGCATTTTTTACATGAGATATATAAAATACGCATGAAAATAAAACATTTGCTGATAACAAACCAGCATTTGCAAGGCTTGCTAACCAGGCTTATTTTCCTTTTTTATGAAATTCAGGTGCTGATAAGGCTCTATTACAGCAGAGGGTGGGTTTACTATTCAGCATACACAGCTACAAACTCTGGCAAGAGCACTGCGGTCGAAGTCTAACCAACACAGGCCATTTAACCCATTAAATATTGTTCAAGTATACTAAAGCATTACTCAAAGAAAATCAGCATTACAGATAGTACACACCACCTTGTAAAATATGAAAACAAATGCAAATATTGTTCAACTAGAAACCTGATAGACAAGGATTCAAATCCCCACTCAGAAATTCATTTAGTGACATTGGGGAAATCTCTCTTAGTTGGAATAGCAAACCTCTGAATGAATTTTGCCAAGAAAATTCAATAGGGTCTCCTTAAGTTGAAGTTGATTTGAAGGCACATAACTATATTACTACCTTTTGATTGCCTCATTTCTTATATATACTAATGAAATATTTAAATAATTAAAATTAGTCAAAATAATTTCACTAATACCATGGAGCCAGAATGTTATCTATATTTGACACACGGCTGAAGGTGACAATTACCACCATAATTATTAATGAAACATATCTTACTAGCAAGAAAACAGCTCTGCCTTGAAATGTTAAGACATACAGCTGTATAGGAAAAGCACAATCCAAGTTGATAGCTGTCCAGCCTCGTTTAAAAACCTCCCAAGGAAGGAGTTTCCACATTCAAAGGCAGAGAGTTCCACTGATGAACAGCACTTACAGTCAGGAAGTTCTTCCTAATGTTCAAGTAGAATCTCCTTTCCTGGAATTTGAACCCATTGCCCAGAGCCCTAGTTTCCTATTTCCTCTTTCTTATGACATCCTTTCACATACTTATACATGGCTATCATGCCTCCTCTCAACCTTCTCTTCTGCAGGCTAAACATACCCAAACTCTTGTAAACTGCTCATCGTAGGGATTCATGGTCTCCAGAGCTTTGATCATTTTAGTTGCCGTCCTGTGGACACCTCCAGCTTGTCAATGTCTCTTTTAAACTGTGGTGCCCAGAATTGGACACAGTATTCCAGGTGATGTCTAACCAAAGCAGAATAGAGAAACGGCATGACTTCCGTCGATCAGGACACTACTTTTGATGCAGCCCAAAATCTCATTGGCTTTTTTAGCTGCTGCATCACACTATTGGCTTATGTTTAACTTGTTGTCCATGAAGACTCCAACATCATTTTCACATGGGCTGTTGTTGAGCCAAGTATTCTGTATCTGCATTTAATTTTTTTCTGTTTGTGGGTAGTATCTTGTATTTGTCCTAGTTAAAATTAATTTTGTTAGATTTGGCTCAGCTCTCTAATCTGTTAAGGTCATTTTGAATTCTGATCCTGTCCTCTGGAGTATTAGCTATCCCTTCTAATTTGGTGTCATCTGTAAACTTGATAGGTATGCCCTCTAAACCTTAATCTAAGTCATTAATAAATGTTGTAGTAAAATACTGGACTCAGGAGCAAGCTCCTGTCTCCACTAGTCACTTCTTTCCAGGATGAAGTGGACCCATAGGTGAGCACCCTTTGGTTTTGGTTGCTTAACCAATTACAGATCTACTTATAGTAGCATTGCCTAGCCCACATTTGACTAATTTGTTTGCAAGAAGGTCATGGGGGACCTTGTCGAAGGCCTTACTGAAATCAAGATATGCTACATTCACAGCATTCCCTGCATCTACCAAGTCGAAAAAAGATAAGATTTGTCTGATATTACTGTTTTTGAGAAATCCATGTTGACTTTTAGTAATCACACCATTCCTTTCTAAGTGATTGCAGACTGACTTCTCCATTATCTACTTCAGAATCTTTCCTAGTATTAATGTCAGGCTGACTGAACGGTAATTTTTTGAATCCTCTTTTTTCCCCTTCTTGAAGACAGGGACAACATTTGCTCTCCTCCAGTCTGCTGGGACTTCTCCTATTCTCCAAGAATCTTCAAAGATTATTGCCAGTGGTTCTGAAATTACCTCTGCTAGCTCCTTCAATACTCTTGGTTGTAGTTCATCTGACCCTGGAGACTAATTCATTTAGAGTAGCCAGATATTCCTGGACTATTTCTTTACCTATTTTGGGTTGCATTTCCGCTGCATATTGCTCAAGTTGAACACCGGTCTCCTTTTAGGAGAAGACTAAGGAAAAGGTATTGCGTAATTCTGTCTTTTCTCTATCTCCTGTTACCATTTCACTACATTCTTCATACAGAGGCCCTACAGGTTCTTCCTTTTTGTACTGACATAACCAAAGAACCCCTTTTGATTGTTTTTAATCTCTTTAATAAGCCTGAGATTGTTTTGTGCCTTGGGCTTACAAATCTTTTATCTATATATGTTAGTTATTCGTTTGAATTCCTCTGGGGATTTTCCCCCTTTTCCATTTCTTGTGCATGTCTCTTTTAAATCTTAGCTCAGTTAAAAGTTCTTTGGATATCCATTTTGATTGTTTTACATTTCTCTCTCCCCCCCCCCCCCCCCTTTTTCTTTTTTTTTGCTGGCAGTTTGCAATTGTGCCTTTAGCATCTCACTTTTAAGAAACTCGCATCCCTCATTAACTCCCTTCTCTTAAAATCTATGCAACTAAATTGCCTCCATTCTAATTCTTAGATGGTGCTTATTATGATGTACCCAACCTTCCCGAGTACTCATTTGAAATTAACAAGGTTGCTTACATGTTGCTTCAGGGACAGAAGGGAAGCACCATTCCTTACAGTCCTTTAAAACTATCCTAAATTTTTTTTGCAGATGTTGAAAAGACTGCAGCTTACTATACCATAAACATTATATTTTGCCATTTCTGGACTCTGAAGTTTTAGTAGGATGTAGTTACTACAAGTTATCTCCTTAACATTTTGCTTATTAGCATTTTTGCAGAGAATTATAACCCAGTAAAATCAATGTATTCCAATCTCTGAGCAATGCCAAATTCAGATTTATATGTGCATCCTCTTTCTATTTAGATTGATGTGCTCTTTTTGCCATTTCATGTGGCTACTAAACCCAGGCTCAAGCCCCCACCTTTAGTAAACCTTGCATTTTCAACTACTGAGAGACCTATCACTCACAGCTATCTTTGACATTTCATGGCAAACAGATTTAAACCTATCAGTCACAGTTCTTGCAGTCCTATCAGACAGATTCAGTATTTCTGGATATTTTAAGAAGGTTCTTTTGAAAAGGAGAAGAAACTTGTTAAAAGGTGTCCACACCCGCCTCTTCTCATAGCAAGTTAGGAATTCCATGTGGGTTAAGCATCTCCCTTTTATTGCTTGGAACAAAATGGACACAAATAAAAGTTTCCATTAAAAGTGTATCCTTCGACATACAATTTGGATTTCTGGATAGGGAATACACAACTGGACATACAAGTTGCACATCCCTTATGTGGAAATTCAAAATGCTCGATAATGTAAAATTATCCACATGGGAAACAGAAATAGCAACACCTCTGCTTTCTAAAGGTTTGGTGTTCACAAAGGTGGTATCATGCACAAATGGTTTGAGCATTGGACTACTTCTGTGAAAAACAGCGTTCAATGCCCTACTCAGCTATGAAATCCTGTTTGGCTATGATCTTGGGTAAGTAACACACTTTTAACCTCAAAATATCCCATGAAAGGTTTACCTCCGGGCTGTCATAAATTGGAAATAAAATTAGGGTGGACAACAATGAGATTACAATTAACCAATGTGTATGAGATTTATGAAACATCCATTAATTTCTTATTTAGACTTGGGTCCCATCTCCAAGGTATATGGAAATACTGTCCATCCTCCACTGCTGTGGTACCAGGTGGGATGCTATCTGCCCTGATTCCAGAAGAAGGACCAGCCCCTACCCACCAACATCACTTCACTTACTCTGCAGACCCTGGCTCCTTTTCCTGTTCCCAAGCAAAGGAAAGGAAGTGCCAGGAAAAACAGACACAAACACTCAAGAGGAGGAGCTGGGATCCTTAGGGAAAGTGAAGTGGCAGTGGAATACTCTTCCCGTGTGCTGCAAGTGTCTGTTTCCCTCAGTACCTCCCCTCTTTTTCCCCAGGAAAGATAAGGATGCAGAACAAAGGAAGAGGAAAAGTAACTAGGATCCACAGAGCAGGTGAAGTGGCATGTATGTCCTGCTCCTACTCTTCCTGTGTGCCACACATGTCTGTTTTGCCTAGGTACCAGAGAAAACAGAAGCAACACCCAAAAAGAGGGAGTTTGGCCCCGCATGCTGGCTGCCACACTTCTCCTACAAAGTCCACCTGATCTTCCTTTTCTTTGTCTGGGCAAAACAGACAAGTATGGTAAACAGGAACCTGAGCTGGGCTTTGCAGGGTAAATGATGTGGCAGTGGTGTGCAGGACTTGCTCTTTCTTCTCCTATGTACATGTGCCTGTTTCACCCAGGTAAAGGGAGTTACCAAGCAAAACAGGCACACCTGGCTCCCAAATATGGGAATGTTCACACAGCAGCCTAATGTTTGGGGATCAGGTACAGTGCAGATGGTAATCTCTCACCTACGTACAAGTTGCTGAACTGTCATTTTCAGGATTCTGACCACATTTTGCTTCTTGGTTCTCCTTAAATATTAAAACATTAAATAATTCATCAATTGAGACTCCTTTTTGGCTATATAGTGCTGTTTGTGTGTGTGGTTTTTGTTGTTGTTGTTGTTTTGCATTTGTTGCTCATTCGTTCAGTCGTCTCCGACTCTTCGTGACCTCATGGACCAGTCAACGCCAGAGC